GCGAGCCAGTTGCTGGAAGCAGCGCGCCACGGTGTAGCCCCCTCGATCCCGCTTCAGCAGATACAAGTTGAGGGCCAGAAAGCGCTGCAGAGCCCTGCAAGAGGACGCCGGTTAAGTATGAATTGCTGTCTGATTCGAGAAGCTACTCACATGATGTCCCGCTGGGCCGTCATTACCAGAGCAAACACAAATGTGGGACTCCGCAGCAGCAGGGCCAAAAGCACTGCAAAAACGAGGCTGGCCACGGCACTATCGCAGCAGAAGCAGAAATAAACCAAAGATGCCACAAGCAGGGTGCCCAGACGTGTGGCAAGCTTCTGTTTCAGGTTGAGCTCCAGTTGAACTTCCATTTTCCATTTCGTGCCAGCGTCCTCCTGGTCACCTCGGTCGCCTCTGTTCTCACTCACTGCAAAGGCCAAATCCATGATTAGCACCAGATTCGGATGACAGCAAAGGCAAGGCTGGCAATGTATCACCTGACACCTGACACACTGGCAATCCCTCTAAACACCGATCCTTCCCTTCCCTTACCACTTGCCTAGGGCAACCGTCTAGCACCGACTGAATACTGATAGTGTGGGGGGAGCCTCTGATATGCGTGTCACGGCGCTTCCCTGATAGCGATTAAGTTAGTGGAACGCGAGTTCTTATCACTGTTGTGGTGGGTGTATTGGGGAGTGGGGTGTTGACATGGTCTTAAGATAGTTGAGGCGTGAAAAGTCGAACAAATGTGGAAAATACACTGTGAAACAGGGTTTGGGCTGCAGCAACAGATCGATCGTTGATCGTTGATCGTTGAGCTGGAACCATAACGCTGAATGAATTCTGTGTACAAATGTAATTATAATTACAGGCAACGAGTCTGGTTTTGCTTTTATTTGAATACAAATAGTATTGGAAAAGCACTTTCAAGTAGTTTACTATTATATATCCGTCTTAAGCTTTGTGTTTGTGCGCTTCTATGACACCTTTTTTTGGGCTTGGCGCTAATTGGCTCGTATTATATTCACTTAACTTTGACGACCTAACCTAATGACTTACACTACAAATTATAGTCGCAGCAGTCGAGCGTGGAAACTTTTACGCCTCAACGAGAGTGAAATCTTAACTAATCTCTCAATATGCCCATTAAGATAAGCTGCGTCTGCAAGTGGAGTGGGTGCCATGTACTTATCGGCAAATTAAAACTGCACTGAAAGCCATTGAACCTGGAGCTGGAGCTGCTCGCAAAACAGCTGACATCACAATGGGGCAGGCAGAGCAAAACAATTGCTAGGTGGAAAAGTTGCAGCTTTAATTATTCAAGAGCGAGTCATAAATCAAAGCAAAAACTGTCAGCGAGGCGGTGCAAGCGTACCCTATTCCATTTCCCGGTTTACAAATTACTTTGCTCACTTTTTCAGATTTTTCTATTGCTCAAAATTGAAACAGTTTTGCGTTTGTTCCGGGCACAGCCTTGGCACAGTGATTCCCTCCACAAGGGTTAACGAAGCTATCAAGTACCACGGACAGACCGGAGACAAAGTTCATTGCTACTCGCGAGAATTCCAGTATGGACATGCGCGACTCCATCTCTATCTCTATGTAAATAAATATGTACACCACGAACACTATGTGATGTGTGTGTGGTTTGTTTGCGATCGAGTGGCGTCTATGCTGGGACCTTGACTTATTTCGTATTCCGCTCACAGCTCACTACGCACTTCTTGGCACTGCCTTCCGCGGGCTTTACATTACGTGTGCTGTGGTCATCCATGGCTACAGCGGTTAAGTTTTATTCCATTTACACAATAGTTCTGAGCGATTCGTGGTTGTCAGCGTGTCAGCCCCCGTCATGATCAATGCAATTCACTTTTCAATGTCAGTGCAGCAGCGCCCACTCTGCTGTGTTTGTTCTCTTCTCCTCTTCTTTGACATACTTTTTACTGCACGAACGCCAACGGTTCTTTCGGCAAAACAGAAGCACGCAAACAACAACACTCGACAACAGAGATCGCGAAAACGTTCAGCTCGGCCGGCAGCGGATCGTGGAATTGAGCAGAGCAGCGTCCGGCTGCCGGTCTTTTATAACCGAAGCTGCTGCGCAGTGTTCTCAGAGAGTCGCTCTCTCGAGTGTAAGCTCCAAAGAGGGAGAGAGGGATGCTCAAGGCATAACAAAACAAGGTGGTGGCCTCAAGCAAGAAAGCTCTCACGATATTCACATGTGCTCTCTCACTTAAGTTGTTTGTTTAGTCATTTGTGCGAGCCAGAGAGAGTGCGATACCGTACATAAATACACCTTGGGTGTAAGCATTGAAAGTTGTACAGGCTACTCTATAGTACCCTAAATCTAATACTACAATCACCAGCCATACCAATTGAGATTTGTTATTCACTTGGAAATCAAATGTTAGCTTCAAAGTTTTTCCAATTGCCCGCACACTCGATTGACTGTTGCCACGTGTTGCAGGTGGCAGCATTTTCCGGCTATTCCAGCAAATTTCTAACACTCTCTCGCTTGTCGAATTTTTTTAATTAAACATTTTTTATATGCCATTGGCATGGCCCGATGGGGCGATGGAAAAAAACAAAAGCCAAAAACCAATTTGTCGCTGCCCCAACTTCTGCCTGCCCCTTAAAGAAATGCCTATGTCAAAATAAATTAACATAGAGCAGCGCAGGCAGCAGAGCAGCAGCAGCGCAGCAACAGCAGCAGCGGCTGTGACGCCGTCGGCGTCGCTTAGCTGTCAAATGCCGGCAGCCGAAATATAAAAAATATGTGCATACTTTCGGTTGGCGCATATAAAAAGTGTGCGCATACTTTTGGCAGCTTTTGAGTTATAGACGGTGTGAGGGCGAAACTAAGTGAGCGAATGCACGTGTGTGTATGTGTGTGAGTGTGTTTGAGTTGCGATTGTGTGTGGGAATGCCTGTAATTGACACATGTTACGCGCACAAAAGCGGCACTGGCAGCGCCGCTTCTCAGCCCAGACTCGAGCCCCCGCCCGACCCAGGGCTCCATCCCGACCATCGTTATTATCGACAATGGCGCCGCCAAAAACACACTCACATTCGGTTCTCTCTCTCTGTCGCTCTCTCCCTCTGTCTCTGTCTCGCGTGTTCTTCCTGCTTCTCCGCACTGTACACTCGCATGCCATGCCTTTGCTGCACAGCCTTCAAATGCAGGCTCAGGACACACACACACACACACACACACAGAGAGAGGCAACCTCAGTCAACTTTGTTTGGAGCCGGCAAAAACAAAAACACAAACCGACACACACACACACACAGGCGGCAGGGATAAGGGCAGACACAGAGCACCGCTTGCTGATAACGTTAACGTCAGCTGTGCGGCACTTTGGGGCACACGTGAGTTCTGGCTGTGAGTCTGAGTTTGGTTTCGGGGGATGGATGGAATGAGGATGGGAGGGCAGCCAGAGTCGAGCGCAGGCAAGCGTCAAACGTTTCGTACCTTGGACCCCCAGGCGACATTCACCTCGCCCTGCCCTGCCCTGCCCAGGCCAACCCAACCCCACCCCGCACTCCGCACTACGCCTGGCATTTGTTTGTGTTGTCAACAAAAGTTTCTTTGAAATCAGTAACAGATGTCGATTGAAATGGCACAATTGCTGGCTGCGTCGGTGCCCCGTCCTGTGGCCTGGGCATGGCTTTGCTCTGCTCTGCTCTGGCGTGGGCTTTGGGTCTGCGCCTGGTGCCTGGTGCCTGCTGCCTGCTGCCTGGTGGAGCATCGCAGGGCGTCCGGCACTTATGATGAATATTTTTATGCCAGACACAACAGGCCCAAGATATGCCGAGCGGCGGGCACATTGTGTGCGCCACTGGCCTGTCACATTTTAATTAAAATTTCTGTGCTCAAGTTTTAATGTTAATGCATTGGCATCGATGGTAGCTGGAAAAACAATGGGCGTACATTTAGTATGGCCCAGTAGTTCCAGGGTAGGGTAGGGTATGATTTGCCTTTGTTTGTCGCCACTTTATAGAGCATCCTGGGTACAGTTTTGAGCCCCTGGCCACTGCTTCTGCTCCCTTTCAGTGTCCATCTATTGACAACGGTCTCTGTGTCGTCGTCTGCCCCTGTGCACATTGCAGCCGGTTGAGTACGTAGAGCGCCTTGTGGCTGCTGGCGATAACAAACGATAACTGCATGTTAAGTAGAAGCTAACGAAAGGCTACCGCCCGCACAGGGAGATGAGAGGGCTGTCTGCCGGAGAGAATGACAGCATATGCAAGTTGGATGCCGGACACCGGACGCCGGACGTGCAGCAGCCATTTCAATGTGTAGCACCGGCATCCCAGTGTCCCTGATCGTCCCAGCGGAAGTTGTGGGTGTATTGGGTACGGGAGTGGGAGAGCGGTGGCTGGGGCTTTGGGAAATCACTCAGGTAGCAAAATGCCATCATCATCATCATTGTTGTGGGCTGAAGGGTTGCTAAAAAGCGCACAGCATCGAGACAAAAGCAAAGTTAAGGCAAGCTGCTGTGTGTCTGTCTCTCTCTCTCTCTCTCTCTCTCTCTGTCTGACTCACTGTTTCTGTGTCTGTGTCTATGTGTGGGTAAGCAGCCGCAAGGCAACGTGTGCGTGTGCAACAAATGTTGTGGGTGTTCTTTAGACAGAAGAGAGAGAGAGAGAGCGAAGAGTGGTGTTTGGGGGGCGGGGTCTAACGAGCTTTTACTTGCTGGCTTGCAATGCGACAGCAGCAGGTGTGCCATGCTATGCAGGCGGACACAGGACACCCGCAGACACACACAGGGCACAGCTGAGTGACGATAATTGAAATTTCATCACAGTAGTTTGTGGTTTTGTAGCACACACACGAACACCCACACCACCACCCACACCCACACATGGAGACGCTGCCACTCACACTAATGCGCAATTCATGGCCAGTTCCAGGACGCCACACATCGAAATGTAATTTTCTAATTCGAATTTTCAATAGATCGAATTTGCTTTTTGGGCTTGCTTTTGTTTGGTTTAAAACACTTTATTTCTTGGGTTTTTCTTTTGAGCCTTTTTGCTGGTTTTCTTCTTGTTTTTTGTTTCTGTTTCTGTTTCTTTTTTGTAGATGCAACATTTACGTGGTTGTGTGTCGTTTATGGTAAAAGTACATTAGTTATTATGTTTAAGAGATAAATACAATAAATACTAATCAATAAATTATAAATACAATCAATAAGTTAGCCATCATATCATAATAATAATAGTGTTACTCGTACTTTATTTTTAAGTTTACTATAATAATAATAAAATCTACTATGTTCAGTTTGTTTACTTGCTCTGGGGGTTCTGACTCTCCCAAGTTTACTTACAGATCTACAAGTTTTTGTTTTATTTCTGATTTATTCTTTTACTGCTGCGAGAGTTGCCGTGTGTGTGTGTGTGTGTGTGTGTGTGAGTTTTGTGGATAAACATTTAATACGAGTGCGCACACACATTGTCTATTGTAATATTTAGGATTATTCTTCCTCCTTTGGGCTTGGTTATTATTCCTCCTAAACGTGCACTAGATGTGTGAGAAGTGTGAGAATTTTTGATTGGCAGATTACCCTTTTACGATTCCCTTTATATAAATTCTTCTAGAGGTTCCACCAGCTGCACTTCCTCTCAAAAACTACACTAGTTGTTGGCTGCATAAAACATTTAAATTGTGAAAAATACAAATACATAACTATGTATGTGTTTATGTATTTATGCATGTATCTATGTATCTGTATCTACGTTTTGAGCTCTGTTGCTGAAGCGTCTCCTACTTCGTGAATTACTTTTTCGTTTTAATTAAGTTTAGAAATTTATTTCTTTTTTTTGTTGTTTAATTTTCGGATAACTGCATAATTATGTATGTATTGGTGTATGTGTGGGTGACCTCTGACCTCTCTGACCCTCCCCCTCTTATAATTTGACTAGCACAAGTACTTCTTTTTGGGTTTCATCATGCGAATGCGTCATTTGGAGCCCAATCCGTTCGCCACCAGGGCACTGGGCGTGGCAGCAGCCACGGCCGCAGCCCCCGCACTGCCCCCACCGCCAGATCCTCCACCGCCTGGGCCGCCTGGGCCACCTCCGCCACCACTCGGACCCACACTGGCCGCAACAATCGCCTCACGGGCACCCGCCGCTGCTGCTGCCGCTGCTGCTGCTGCCGCCGCCGCCTGCAGATGGGCTGACGAGGTGGGCGTGGGTGGGGATCGCGTGGCCATCGCCGTGCGAATGCTGCCGGCTGCGGGGTGCAAGTGCTTGGCACTCATTTCGCTGGCCCTGGTGTTGCCACAGACCTGCAAGACGCAACGAAACAGAAGGGGGGAGAAACAGTGTTAAGATCAGTGGGGAAGCGGGAGGAGGGGTACACCCACCTGATGATGGCTATCCCAATCTCTGTATTGGCACGAGGCGCTGCAGTAGCGAGCCATGTTGCAGCCCGAGCAGGTTTCGGTGGCCTTGCGACCGCAGTTCCAGCACTGCTGCTGCAGTGTCCCGTTCTGAAAAGCGATTGAGGGACAACTTTTGATTAGGAAATAACTTCACTGCTTTGCAGGATATTTCTGCACCTACATTCTGTGCCGTGGTGATCGATGGCGACTTGTTGTCCATCTCCCGCTCGCCGCTCGAGTGGCGACTCATCTCCATGAAGAACTTCTCCATGCGCAGCCGCTCCTGGGTCATGATCTCTGCGGCACGCGTCTCGGCAGCCACCACAGCACGTTGGATCTCGATGACCGCCTGTCGCTTGACCTGCACAGGGGAGGAGATGGAAGAGAGTTAGCAGCTGGAGAGGATCGATGTCTCGAGGGGGGTAGACCCACCTGGGTGACTGCATCCTCGGCATTCCGCTTGAATTCGGAGACCTTCTCCTCGGTTTGGCGTCGCAATTCGGCGAGTGCCGCTGGCGTTATCTCCTGCCCGCTGTTGGGATGCTGCGGCTCGATGCCACGCTGCTGGAGGATCGTGATGGCGCGCTTCGTCTTGTCCACCATGGCCGAGATGCAGTTGAGCATTGTGTGAATGTTTTTCCACTCTTCCTCGCCGCCGGCAGCACCACCACCAGCGGCAGTATTCGGGTTGGCATTGGGATTGGCTTGGGGATTCGGATTGGGATTGGGATTGGGATTGGGATTGGCAGCACGCTGTGGTGGAGCCGGATGTCGCAGCTCCCGTTCGTCGCGTTGCATGAAACCAGCCGCCGAGGGCAGACCCTCAGCCACCGAGACAGTGTAGTCGCCGTAGGCCATGACCGAGTGGGCGGGATGCATGGCCATGCGCTTGTTGGGCGGTGGGGGATATCCGGAGGCAGACACTCCGCCGCCGCTGGCCATGTACTCGCTCCACTCGTGCAGTCCATTGTGGCCGCCGTGCTCCATCATGGAGTCCGAGGAGCGACGCTTGAAGACCGCGCTGCCATTCGCTGTGGGCGCCTCCAGCTGCACGAAGATGTCGCCAAACTCTGCGCCGAATTCCATCACCGCCGGCTCGTTGTTGGTGACGTACTGCAGGGCGGACTGGTTGGTGGCCCGGGCCAGGGCCAGGATCTCGCGCTGCATCAGCGTCACGCTGTTCTTCAGCAGCGGCATGACGTAGGGTCGCAGCGGCAGGTTGATGGCCTCCTGCAGCGCCAGGCGGAACTCCTCCAGCGAGATGGTGCCGCAGCAGAGAGACAGTACCAAAGCCCGAACTCGCTCGCACACCTCCGGCTGGCCGAGATCCTGCGAGAAGTGGACCAGAGCGCCGAGGAACTTGCGCAACTTGGCCACGAGTCGTGCCTGCTCCACGTGAGCGGCTGCTGCGGCGGCGGCTGCGGCTGCCAGCGAGGCGGCATGCTGGGCACCCGGAGTGGGCGAGGTGCCCGAGGAGCCAACTCCTCCGTTTACCACCGGGGAGACACTCGCATTGCGCTGCGGTCGATGGTGCAGCTGCAGCGGCGAGTGTGGGGACCGAGGGGCGAGACTGCGTGCAGAGTCTGGCGGGGAATCGGGTGGAGTGCGACACAGGCGATCGCGTTCCCGCTCCCGCTCCCGCTCCCTCTCTCTGTCCCTGTCTCGACTGCTGTGGGATGTGGTGCAGTTGCTGCTGTCCTTGCTGCTGCTGCTCGACGAGGATGAGCTCTTGTCGCCGCCGCCGTTGCTGCTGCTGCTGCTGCTGTTGGCTGTGTGTGTGTGGGAGATGGAGGAACAGGGAGCAGCTCGTTAGTTGTGTGTTAACAATAAACAAGAGAAACAAGTCCAAGTGCAAGTCCAAGTGCTGGACACACTCGAGCTGCAACATATCACAGGATGTGCAGCCCGAGGGGCATTACAAATGCATTAGCAGCAACTTGCCGAAAGGGTTTTGCCCAGAGGGTGGAGAGGAACGGAAGTTGCCACAAATACAACTATATATTCGTCTGTGTGTGTGTCTGTGTGTGTGTGCCACCGACCACAACATGCTACGGCACTTGTCCTCCTGCCACATCAAGGCAGGATGCAAGAGGGAGTGTGCGACAACCAACTGGCAGCATTAACAAATTTGTTTGAACATGGGAAATAAATTAGCAAACATTTTTGGTCCACGTTGCACGTTCCCTGCCGCATCCTCCTCCTCGCTCTGGTGTGGTCTTCTGTGGCGTGGTCTGCATGGCATGGGGTGTGGCAAGCAAATCAAGCACCACATAACGCACTAATTGCATGAGTGGGGAGGGCGGTGCAAACGGGGCAAGTGGGGCAGTGGCTACAACACATTGCGGTACGTGCTGTCCCATCCGATTTCCCCACCCCCAACCACCAACCCCCAAACCCCACCCCAACCCATCCATGATCCTGCCAAAGCGATGTGCTGTAGCTCAAAAATGAAAAGCTTAACGCAAATCCGCAATGCGCAGATGGCCGGAGGAGCCGCTGGTACCCAGAGAGAGTGTGGCACAGGCGACAAAAGAGTCAAAGGCGATTTGGTTGAGGCTTTGTTTGAAAAGAATTTCCAATGAGTGTTAGTTTCGGATTGGAACTTCAATCCTTAGCAAGTGCTCGAAAAGCGACTAAGATACAGCAACCCATTCTGGACACATTTTGTCGCCTGTGCCGGTGCTTTGATGCCCGAAACACACACACACAGACAAACTTTGTTTGCACAAGCTAATGGAAATTGTTTATGGGTCTCTCTCTCTCTCTGTGTCTCTCTGTGTGTGTGTTTGGTTTGGTCCTCCGGTGGGTGGCTGGCTGACAGACACGCTGAGAGGCGAATGTTGCTGCTGCTGAGGATGATGACGATGACGACGATGGCAATGGCAGTCGTCGGTTGATGTTGCCGCTACTGCCACTGCTGCTGCTGCACAGTTTGCTTTTGTGATAATGATTGTGGATACAGCTGCAACTGGGTGTGTTTTCACAGCCATTCAGGCACGCCGCCGCCATGCCAATCGAAGGGACATACACAGGGCGAAGCAGAGCAAGACAGGCGGACAAAGGGGGCAGATACGCAGCACATATTCGCAGTCCCAGCCGCAGTCGCAGTCGCAGTCGGAGGCGGTGGAGGCATCACTCACTCAGTCGGCGGCTCTTATCAAACGCCAAACATAGACAATGATGGATCACATGGATGTCTCCACGGCCCACTAACGAAGACGGCAAACACAGCCACTCCCGCGCACAGCCCCCTTTTTGCCTCCCTTAATTGCCTGGCTGTCTTCCTACCCAAGCCCTTGTCCCCCGCTTTCTGTGGTACAATTGTAAAATATTGCACTTGACCGGGCTTAAAAGTTTTTCGGTTTGTTTGGGTTCTATTTGTTGCTGTTGCTGGAAACCTCAACTGACCAAAAGTTGGTGCCCAGGGAGAGAGAGAGAGACAGCCAGACCAGCAGCAGTAGCAGCAGCAGCTGTGGCAGCCAAAAACCCACGCCCAAAAACCCAAAAAACTATTTACGAAAATTTTGTGTTGACAATTCGCATATTTTCTAAAACATAATGTCCAGCAGGGGATTGGGGCAGGGCTCTGCTGTGCTGTTCTGGGGCTCCAACTGCTGGCTCAACATTTGCCCGCAGCATGAGGCTCTTGCTCCGGTTTGTGGCATCGATTTAAGGTTACGTATACGCAGCATGGGACAGGCCTGCGTCTCTGCATCCACAGCTACCACTCTTTCCCCCAAAGAGTCTACATGTGTGTGTGTGTGTGTGTGTGTGTGTGTGTGCTGTTTGTCCATGTGTACGTGTGTGTGTTGGTGTGGGCAACAGAATTTGCACAGCTGCGTCCCATAGATTGCAGTCAAGCGCACAAAACGAAACGTTTGCAAGTTTAGTTTGTTGTTGCTGTTTGTTGTTGTCATTGCTGCTGCCACTGCCACTGCCGCTGCCACTGCTGCTGCTGCTGTTGCTGTTGCTGGCTGTGGCATAGTCATTTGGGAAAACAATCATTTTGGCAAATATTCATCATGCGCTGTTTGTGATTATCATCAGAAAAGAGACACACAAACACACACCCAACACAGAGAGAGACTGATGGCAGAGACAGAGACAAACAGAGACAGTCATGAGGTTCCCTTCGATTGTGGCTTCTTGTTGCACAAAACTTGTGTTCGAATTTCCTAACAAAAATGCTAATTAGCGTAGCGAACTTTAAGCGTCTCAAATGCAGGACACACACTTCACTTCATTGGCCTCACCCCTGGTAGAGTTCTGCCACAGGTACAAGGCACGCACAGCACAGCACAGAAACAGCCACAATAACAGTGGCAATCAAAGCAAAGCACACAGAACGAAGCCCATCATCCTGCGCTTCCCACGCACCATCCCTCCTACTCCTCCTCCTGCTAGTTCCGCCTAAAAGCAGACAACAGAATGTTCGCCTGCGTGCGGGCTGCTGCTGGGAACAATGCCAGCAGCGGTTTCTGTGTGTGTTTTCTTTTTCCTCTGGTTTGGATGGAGGCAGTAAAAGGTTGCTGCGGGGGCCAACTAGGAAAATGCTTTTGGCCTTTGCCATTCCTTGGGGTTCGACTGAGGTTGTGGCCCCTGCGCAGAGACCAATCTGCAATGCTCGATGCTCCGTGGAGAGAGGAAAGGATAGGATCCATGCCCAGCTCATTCTCTAGTTCTCCTTCTCCATTCTGCTGAAACAATATCACCCACCAAAGAGGCTGCAACCCACCGCACAGCCACACAGCTGCTGGCATTCACACCATCAATCGTCGGAGTTGGTCCGACCCGTCCGCTTGCTTTTGTGCACCCAATTAAGCGCCTTAAATTATGCTCCACTTTCCATACGCGACTCACCTTTAAGCCTTCGGCAAATGGCCGCCGCTGTGGCTGCTGTTGCTGTGTTGTTTGTCGACGCCGCTGCTGCTGCTGCTGCTGACGCTGCGCCCGTCACCGCCGACACGACCACGGACGACGAGGAGGATGACGATGACGCGGGTGGCCCCTGAACACCTGCTGCTGTGGCCACCGCGAGCGCGGCTCCAGCTGCCACCGCTGCTGCGGCCACGTCATATGAGTCCTTGTCGGTAATCTCCTCCTTAATTATCGCCTTGCCATCGAGCGCCATCTGGAAATAGACGAGCAAATTAGTTGAGAAATATAAGCCGCAGGGTAGGAGGTTTCTATGACTGGGAGGACGAGAGACCGCACGCCCCGCCCACGACCAACTAATTCCTCCGAACGGACTGCACGGGTTCCCACAGCGGCGGCGACGATAGACAAAAACATCAAGTGACAAAGTTCTCACATTATGTTTTCAACTTATTTGATTTCAATTTGATTAAATGGTTGTCTGACATGCAAATTGGGTGTGCCTGCCCGCGCGCACAGACACAAAAGTCCTTGGAGCCTTGGAGTCCGAGAGCAGCTGTCGCTGTCGCTGTCGCTTTAATTTTTAGCACACAACAAAAATTACATTTAAAATTAATGCAAAAGGCACTGAAAGTTGCTCTAGAAGGAAAGTGCAAGACCTTATTCCTGTGTGCCTAGGAATATTCCGTGCAAATCTCGTTTATTTTTTCATGAATTATTTTTCAACATGCTAGCATTTCGGCCATTAAAATTCCTTGCATATTTGTGTGCCATCCAAAATAAATCTTTGACTGAAAGCAATTTCCCGATCGAACAACTGTGCACAGCCCACACAGTCCACACAGTCCACACGCTGTGGACACCTGTGCCCGTAATTGAGTTGGAAGAACTTTGTTCCCGTGCAGACGCTGCTGCGCCTTCGACTCAATGAATTTCCGTTGGGGGGAGACTCGTTTGCTCGATTCCTGTATGGGGTGCTGGCCCTGCTAATTGACTCAACAAATGCACTTCCTGTTTATTGGCAGTGGCAACGAGCCCTTCCATTAGCAGCCCTGCCCCTCCTGCATGCCTCTCCCACCCGTACAGCATGTTCATGTCCAGAGCGAAACATTTTGTTTTCTGTTGATTTTTATCACTAAAATATGTAAATACCTCTGCGGACTGTGGGAGTTTGTGCAGCTTTGCTGCGAGGCAGGCCCCTGCATAAACAAGTGGGCGGGCAGTGGGAGGCAAAAACAACAAGAAACTGAACAGAAGGCCGAGCACGAGAGGGGGCTGGAAACCTGTTCATTTTCATTCATGTTTCGATCAATCTTTGCGGCCTTTTATTTCGGTTGAGGTGTAAGAAGAATCGTGTGTGCCGAGTAGAAGGAGGGAGGTGGCAACCTTCCATCGTGTGTTTAAAGTCCATCGTCGGCACAGTGGGTAATCCCACTCCGCATTCCGCACCCACCCACCCCCCTTAACAGCTGGAGCAGCTGTTTGCCATCAGAGCAGCAAATTACACACACGGAGAATGCTGCAAAATGAAATGAAATTCAATTGAAAACAAACACTTGACACGGCGGCAGCTGCCGTTTGGCTAGAGAGATGGCCCACAGATCGGCCCCCAGTGCTCCCCCCTCCCACACCCCATTCTACAGCATATGGCAGACACAACACTTGTCAACTGTTTGGCGAGGTCTTACCGAATGAAGTTGGCAAAAAAAGTACTCACAAATGACAATGCATAATGTGGGTACACACACGGTTGGTCCGCAGATTAGATGAGGGGCAAACAACAAGTGTTTTCAGGTGGCAGAGAGGTAGAGTGAGTGAGAGACCAAGGAACTCAGGGCATTGAATTGGGGCTGAGTCACTTAATGGCCCCAAGAGCAGAGTTTCCTGCCACCAGCTGCTGCCGCCCTCTGTTCTCCCACTCTGCTCTGTCCCTGGCTATGACGAATGAATCAAATGTCAGAAGCAGCCGTGTCGTTGTCGCTCAAGCAGCTGTCGCCTGTCGTCGCCAGAAGGCGCCTCTAGTGCCTCAGTTAACCCCCAGCCAGCTGCCGCCGTGCCACCATGCCACCATGCCACCATGCCACCTCCCTCCGCAGGCACTTCAAAGAGATGGCAGCCTCACAAGCTTCCATCGCAGCAAAATGGAAAATGTCGCCCGCAGAAGTTTTTCCCACAAAACTTGGGCCAAGCTGATGCTGAGGATGGGACTGAGACTGAGACTGAGTTGGAGTCAGTGTCTGGGTTTGGGTCTGGCTCTAAGGCAGAGACTGGGGGCTGCTGCGACGGCTGCTGGCGAAATTGCCAAGAGGAAAAGTAATTATTTAAACGGAGAGGCAACAGCAGCAGGCAGGCAGGCAGCAGCAGCAGCAGGCACAGTGGGATAAAAGACTCAATTAGTGATCAATTTCAAGCTCAAACTGCAACGACAAGTTTTTCTCTCTGTCATTTATGTTCAGAATTTATGTTGGATTTCCCTTCCAAACATTTTCCCCCCTCATTAGCGGGGCGGTGGGCGTGGCAACTGTTTGACAAGTGAAAAGCAACAACAAAGCACGGAGCATTTCAGTGGATAATTTTCAATTAGGCTCGCAAAGAGCATAAAAAAACGAAAGAAAATTTCTTAAACGACATTCATTTAATTCTGTGTGGGGACAGGGCAGCAGGAGGACAGCCAGCGGTGGCGAGCCATGTGCTGGACACCAAAGCATTTTATACTTTTATCCCTTTTGCTAACAAAAACACAGCCAGATGGGGATGTGGAGGGGGGGTTGGGCATGGGGCTGGGCCGTGCAGAGTGTTAACGCAAAGGCGCGCCAACTGTAATAACAACAACAGAAACGAATGAGGAGAGAGCAGCAGCGAGCAGCAGCAGCGAGCAGCAGCAGAGCAGCAGCAGCGAGCAGCAGCAGAGCAGCAGCAGAGCAGCGAGCCGTGCCAGCGGAGGGGAGAATGGAAGAGCTTGAAAAATCACAGCACAGCTGCATGTGCTTTTGCCGTAAGCTGCCCGTCGACGTTCAGGTCCAGGTTCAGGTTCAGGTCCAGCTCCTGCCACACATGTGTGTGTGCGCGTTTGTGTGTGTGAATGACAACCCACTTGAATGGACGGACGCCGGGCACAATGTTGTTGCTCTGCGGCTCTGCGGAGTCCGCATTGTGCGTCATTATGCGCAAGTGGCGCCCGATGCCTGGGAGAGATTACTGCCTGCGACACCTGTGCAGCAGCAGCAGCAGACGAGCTCCGACATATGTGTGTGTGTGTGTGTGTGCGTACGTGTGAGAGTGTTTTACAGTTAAAAACTTTTTTGCAAGTCGCTACGTCAGCTGCTTCATTACGCAGGTCGGCAGCGAGTCAAGGGGAGGAGGGCAGGTTGTGTGTTCGGGGGCATGGGCTGAGTGAGAAGTTCCTGGGAAGTTTTTAATTAGACGAGCCTGGACGAGCCATCCCACTTCCAAGGTGATAATTAACGTTACAATTGTTGTTATTTACAGCTAATGAATGGGAGAAAATGTATGCAAGACTCTGCTTTGATGTGAAATTATTGATTTAATTTGATTGTTTATGGAATTGTTTCTATATATAATTATGAGTAGTTGGAACAAATTGAAGTGCAAAGGAAATTCATTGAATTTCTTTTTAATATCAATAGATTTTTGCATTTTCATTGCATATTTGCTATTTATTAGCACATATTTAGGTTTGTTTAATATTCTTTTTATATAATAATATGTTTCTGCATTTTTTGCACACACTTAAGACCCTTTTTCACGCCCAAATTCAACATAAATTCATCAATCAGCATATTCAGTGGCAACCCTCGTCAACTATTTGCTAAGCGCCGCTCCTCGTCGTCATTTTAAATTACACATCACGCACACACACACACACACACAGAGGGAGAGAGACAAACAGACAGACAGACAGACAGACGGAGGCAGCATAAGCGGTGGCAACATCAACATTTTTGCACTACTCGCAGCACGTGTGAGTCTGCCACTACGCTCTCCGCCTGCCACAGTTTCACCCTTCACTTGCAGCCTGTGTGTGTGTGTGTGTGTGTGTGGGGCATAATAAGATAATGGCTTGTCGGAGAGCAGCAACAGCAAAAACAACAACCTCGGGGGAAAAAAACAGTTGAGCGCGCGAGTGTGTCGCGCTTAATCGGCTTTATGGTCTGTTTTATTTCCGATATGAACTGCTTTATGTCCAGAGAGTGTGCGAGAGTGCGAGAGACAGCGGAAAGTATAGAGAATGAGCGGAGGGTGGGGAGCACATTATTTGCCTGCCACATGTTGCCCACAAAATGTATTTAGTCATCCCAATTATGCCACATCCAAGCAGCTGATGGGCGCCAGCTGCTGCTGTTTATTGCTCCTATTCTTGCCTGCAGCGGTTGCATGCAATTTGCGAAAAGCAAAACCGGGGCCTGGAGTGCAATTGAAGATTTTCCAGCTGCCGCTGCTCTGCCTTGTTTCCCGCCTGATTGGAAAAGCATTTTGCAGCAGCACGTGGCACTCTCTGTTCAAGTTTGTGTCTGTGGCAGCCAAGTTGTCTGCTGCTGGCAGCAACTACAACAACTGCCTGTGGCAGAGACAACCAAGCAGTGAGGCAAACTGCTGGCAACACATGGTGGCACGTGTCGACGTTGACGACGGCTTTTGGCCATGCCTGCACTAGACAGCAGCAGCAGCAGCAGGAGCCACCAGCCACCAGCCACTGCTCTTGTTGCCGCTGCTGGCTGCTGCTGCTGCTGCTGCTGCTTCTGCGGCTGCCGCTGCCGTTTTCAATTAAAAATTGCGAATGACAGCAGGTGCTGTTGATGGCTTCTCCCTGGCTTCCTCCTCCTCTGGACATGTGCACCTGTGTGTCTGTGTGTCTGTGTGTTGGATGCGGTTGCATGCATCCAAGGAGCGCACGGCCCTTGCCATTAGCAGCACCTGCGTCCAGGTGCAGCACCTGTGTTGCTCCTATCATTTCTAAGCATCCAAATGGTAAAGTTTCCACAGAAATACATTCCGCTGGATGTCTTCGGGGCACAGATCGATGCCCTGCCACCCCTTGGCACTGCAGGCAACAATTTTGTTGGATTTTTCTTTCTTTCTTTCCTTTTCCTCTTTTCTTTGTTGTTGCCCAAATCTGTTGCAGACACTTGAGCCAGCAGCTCAAACAACTGTGGCATGACAACTTACAAGAAGGAACGCCACTGAGGCTGGAGCTGGAGCTGGAGCTGGAGTGGCTGTTCCGATGCGATGGGGCAGCTGCTGCTGTTCCTCATCTGTGTTTCATCTGGCGTAAGAAATATTGCGCCAGCTGGCCCAGCTGCTTCATTTTGGTCGACGCCCCCTTTTCCCCTAAGTAAATCTATCTGTGTGTGTGTGTGTGTGTGTGTGTGTGTGTGTGGCAAGGTCAGCTCTGTGTCTGAGGCTGGAGATTTAAGGCTGTGCCTGCGACTGCCGCAAATCCAATTCAAATGTTCGCCGCCAAGTGGGGGGCGACATTTTGGTAGCCTGCCAGCAAATGGCGCCTGCGATTGCACTGGACACTGCCATGCCTCGTTCGTTACACTTTTTTCGACGAGTCTCAAAATGTTGAAAACATAAGCGGCGGGAGAGCGGAAGGAACACAGCTGAAGGATTGCAGCTGGGCTGTGGCCTGTGTGCACTTCGGGGAGGAATGAAGGTTAATGGTTAAAGCATTGAAACAGATTACGGCTGTGGCAAGGCGTTGCAAATGCCACGATAAAGAGGTGTTTAAAGGATGTGCCAGAATATCCTTTCTGTATTTGTGCCTGCCACTGGCACTGGCTGCTTTCTGCTTTTCCTCTATTGTTTATACACAAAATGTCCCTTCTCTCTCTCTCTCTCTCTCTCTCTCTCTGTTGTATATTTTTTTCAACATTTTTCTAGTATGACATTTTTGCGTTTTGCCCTCTCGCTCCACGCCCGAAAAACATTTCGTGCTGCTCTATGGCCCACGTCTTTTTAATAAGCTGCCACTTGCAGCGACAACAATTCCGGTGGCAGTGGCAAAAGCCACAACACAACAACGAAAACGAAACGAAAGCCCCCCCAAAAACCAAGAGGGAGAGGAAAACGGATGGCAGAACTAGGAGCAGGAAAACGGCAGAGTGGGTGGACAAATCCGAATTTTGTTTTTGACTTTTTCGATTAAGTGTAGGAGTGGAGAGAGGGGAGGGGGTGAGGTTGCCGTACCGTTAGTTGCTGTGTGTTCTGTGTGTGACATTTTCGCGCTTTTTTAGCTTCCATTTTGTGTGCCATGCCCCTACCAAGCTCCTATCCAATGTTTGCCTTTGAGCTTTTGAGGAAGGTTTTTCTTTCTCTTTTTATCTGGTTTTTCTTTTCCTTTGGCATGCCGTTCCGTTCAGTGCCATTCGTTTGCTTTCGTCTAATAAGCAAATTGACTTATTTCCGGTCGCCATGTTGTTTGTTGTCTCAGCTGTTCCCTGCCGCAAACAAAATGGCGTCTCATTAGTCAATGTCGTCTAGGCGAGGCGAAGCGAGGCGAGGCGAGGCACAACCAACGAGGCATCTTAATTGCCAAAGGTGTGAAAATCCAAAAAACTTTTTTTCTGTTTGCTTTTCTTTTTTTTTTCACGAGTTGCCGTGCCGTGCCGCAAAAGTTTGCAGTACTAATGATTGATTGAGCCCTTGATGGATTGCCGTTTCCCTGGATGGCTGACTGGCTGACTGGCTGGATGGTTGAATAAATGCCTGGGCCAAGCTGGTTTGCTATTCGGTGGGTGGTGAGCACATGTGGCCCCGGCTAATTTGATGCCAGCGAGCAGAGCCCCAACAGCTGCATTTGTCATGTGCATTTTCACCTGCCCGAAGTCCCATTCCTTATGCCCACTATTACGCTAATAACTTTGCCCTTTTTCGCCGCTGTCCATTTTAAATGCCATGCCCATGGGCACACGGTACACATGGACACAGTCCATGCCACACGCCCAGCCTTTCGAGCCTCGCATGGGGGCATATCCTGCAAATAGACCCGTGCTGTTGCTGTTGCTGTTGCTGTTGCAATGCATTATTCAATAGGAGATTGTCGAATGGCTGATTGCCCGATGATTACTGATTAGCCGAGGGCCAGGCTCACCGATTTGCCCACGGGCCAAAACAGAACCAAATTGCTGACACACTAATTGAGCGGCCGTCGAGTGATTGGATTGTCGGAGTGCAGGTCGGATTTTGGATCAAATACGATTAAATATTATACATACATATGTGTGTCCATAAGGGTCAGTAGTTGGTGGCATAAATTATTGATCGTTGAATTAATTTCCATTATTGAGCAAATGTTTGAGGGAAATTAATTTCTAGAACTGTGGGGGAATATTGAATACCAAAGTGCAAGTTATTCCAGAGCCAGGGCATTAATCGACTTAGCCCCTTATTATGACATACTTGAGCCACATTTTGGACTGCTTTCCTCTTGGTTTTTTTGCGGAAAAAATGAGAAAATATACAAAACAAGATCGCAGCGAGCGGGCCAGTGGCTCCTCGAAGCTGTTAAAATGTTTATGCAGGTGTCAGTCAGGTGCCTGCATGACAGACGCCACACTGTGAGAAAAGGAGAGCAACGGAGAGATGAAGCAGGTACGGGAATGGCAAAGCGTAATAACAATAGCAATATGTGTACCAACAACAACAACAAAGATCTGCCAGACGGTGCGACGAGTAAGGGCAAAAAGGCCAAAAGACAGCTGCCCTCACACTTGTTTCGATCTTCCTGCCGCTCTTTCTTTTGCTCTCTCTCTCTCTCTCTCTGTCTGTTGATCATCCATTGTGGCAGCTGCAAAGCCAAGGCCACAGCTGGCCAGGTGATTCCAGCCTGAGTCATGAAGTTCTGAATTAAGCGATCGACTACCAGCGGATAATTACGATGGAGTATTCAAGCCAAATATTTGCCTTGTGGGGTTTTTCCTCTTTGCAACAAAACATGTGTGACATTGGAGAGAAAATTATATTATTGTGCTACAATTTATACACAAACTAGAGAGGTTTCTATAACATTTAATGGCAATAATCGATGTATTTAGGAAAATTTTCCCAGTCTGTTATCAGCACAGACTCTCCCAGCGACAGTTGGGCCTAGCTCTAATCATTATTCAAAATTTCAGCTAAAGACATTTTCCGCAGTAAAAGTTTTGGGCTATTGGGCATTTATTTACAACAGCACAGTCACAGATGGAATCGACAGATGGCTGCAGGAGGTACACAGTGGGCACAGGGGAGCGGGCAAGGGACACGGGCCACGGACCACGGGCCAGCAGCTGCGACACATGGCAGGCAGCTGCAATTATTTGCAGTTGGAAGTTCTGTTTCTGTTGGGAACGCGGGCGCACAAGGCCATCAGAAACAGACGGCGGCCAAAGTCATGGACCAAAAACCCAGTCGAGGCAACTTCCGACCCCAGCCACAGCCACAGCAAAAAAGAGGGCAAATAATTTATAATTTCGCACGTGAAACTGACAAAGCAGTAGAGGAAAAGCGAGATTTTTCCTACACATTGGATCGTATCGTGTTCCCCCACGCCCCACACCCCCCTGCCGCACTTTGTCTGTGTTCTGCAAAAACTTTTATTCAAGCACTTGACAAACGAATTTGTATCTGCAGTTGTGCTCTCTGAATGTTTGAGCAAATAAAAAACAGATGCGTCTTGGCCCGGCAGACGATGAACCATCCACAACGAATCTTTGTACATACATTGGAGACTCTTGCTTGCAGGGGGGAGGGCAGAGACACAAACACTTGGAGTGGCATGAGACAGCTGGCCCTGGACGAGCCACAATCAACATGTGTTGGCCATAGCTCATACGCGTAGCATCCACAGATGTGAATGATTCTCATGCGGATGCTGATGATGCGCACATCTGGGGTACAACATTTGATGGAGGGAGGGAACTTACCATTTTATCTGATATTTCTTGCTTATTTGGCTTGATAATAATTTTAAGTTCGTTTAAAACTGTTGTTTGCTTTGGCTTGGTTTAGTTTGTTTTTGTTTTGAGTTGATTCAGTTCGAGTGCAGCATCTTTCTGTTAGTTAAACACCTTTGACTAGTGGCTTCAATTAGTTTTGCTTAATTCTTGTTGTTCATTATTTACACTTTTCGACGGGCACACAGCGCGGAACCGAACGACACTCGAACCGGCATTTCGAAGCAATGCCAAGCGAATATTCTGAATGGCGCGCTGGAACCGCAGTTGTCGGCCTCGGCATCGGAAGCACCGCTAGCGACAGCATGCAGTCCACGCGGAAGTCGGAATGTTGGATAAAGATTACGCGAGAGCGAGAGAGAGAGAGAGAGAGAGAGAGAGCGCTCACGTCCGCACAGGCGAAAGATGAATTTGTTTGTGAGCAGAGCAGCCAGCCGCCGCCACTCAGGTAGCGACCAGCGACGGTCTCTGTTTCGGACGTGTTCAATCGTGTTTCGCTGCTTCGTGTTCGGGCTTCGGCTTCGGCTTCGTCGTCGCATGCTTGCACTCGGGCCAGGCGCTTGCGCAGGCATTTGGTAGCTGCAGATGGAACAGCTGTTTCCTCCACTTCACCCGTCGACTGCCTTTGGGTCTTATCGCTGGGCTGCGCTGTGGCGAAGGCAACAACTGCCTGCCAGACATTTGTTCTTGTTGGGTCTTCGCCGGCATTCGGCCGCTGGGCTATTAACATCAGCTGCTGCTGCTGCTGCTGCTGCTGCTGCTGATGCCTTGCGTGGTTCCGCTCACTCCTCCTCCCTCGGGTGTGTGCTGCCTTCTGCTGGCGGCAGCTGAAAAATTCCTTTTTGGCAGCAGCTTGTTTCGTTCTCGTCTCTGTTGCTGTTTCGGTTTGGACCCCTGCCACCGCCACAGCTACAGCCATGAAATTCCAGTTGGCATTGCGTTGCGAACTGCGTGCCGATATTTAAATAAATTGCCAACCAATTGTGCACACACACACACACACACCCCTCAGGGCCCCTGCCACCGTCGCGTGCTCACACGACTGCGAGTGGCGGCCTTATGCGCGTGTTCACACCATGTCAAACGCTTGGACCCCTAAACACCCACCCACCCTCACACATTCACTCCCCTCCTGGACCCCAGGGAACACATGGCTTAGCCATGGGAATGAGCATGAGCGCCCAGCAAATTAGAAACGATTTTGTGTCCCTGTTTTGGTTCTACCCATCCTCAGCAATGCCAATCGGAGTGGGTGCTGTGGGGGGGTTATAAGATCAATTAGCATGGAAAACCACCCCAAATATCCATGTTTGCTTCATCTAATTGTAAGCTTAGTTAAGCCAAGCACTTAGGGACGTTTTTGGAAGGAATTTAATGGATAATTTTACTTGAGATCTTGTGATATGTGAGAGGAGAAACATCGATAAGGGAGATCATAGAAGGGAAATGCAATCCCCTGCATTGGTCGCAGCCCATTTGGATAATCCAATAACATATTAGCCACAGGGAATTCCCTTTTCCCCGCCGCTGATTAGTAACCAATCGCCATGGGATACTCGTATCTGTCATCTGTTTGCATTTGCCAGCTGTGGCAGCAGACGTTTCAATAGATTCCTACAAATTGACCACCGCAATTTAAACAAACCCCCGCTTTTGGCCAATAAGTGGCCATTCATCTTGTCCAGCCGCAGTTTGTGCCCCATTCCCCCCCTCCCCAATCGAATCCCCTGCCATCCCGCCCACACACTCATATAAGCAAAACTTGCCACAAACGAAAGCCCAAGCACCCTGCTGCTAAACCACAAACTTGAACGAAGGAGACAGAGAAAGCGAAGAACATTTGGCAGCACAGCCAAAGCGAGTCCAAGTCCAGAACGGGGGCGATACGGGAAATCTATTGGGGTGGCAGAAAGCGGCAAGCAGCAGCAGCAGCAGCAGGCAGAAGCGCTCTTCTTTTACTGCTGCCACTTGGTAGCAGTTGGCAATGGCAGCGATGTTGCCCTGCTCCTGCTCCTGCTCCTTCGTCGTAGTCGTAGTCGAAGTCGTCGGGGCAGCATCAGGCGGCAAATAATGTAAAACGCCATTAGGCGAGATTTTCTCATACAAACAACAATTGTGCATTGGCACACCAGCCTGAAGTCGTCTGCGATTCTGGCTGGAGTGGGGCCTTGTGGGTGGATTGTGGGCGTTGGACATGGCATTTTTTATGCGCATTTCGCACAAGTAAAACGGAAAGAGACGCAGAGAGAGAGACAGAGAAACGAAAACAATTTGGGGGCCGCGTTGGCTGCCGACTGGCAAGTGGCAACATTTGTTGCCGTTGCTGCCGCTGCTGCTGCGACAAATTGAATGAAATCACGGCAATTTGGAGCGGCATACATCGGCAGGGAACAGCTGCGGCCGGGCCGTGTCCAAGTTCGTTCCCAAATGGCCAGTCGCAAAAAAAAGGAAAGAACAAAAAAACGAGGAAGGAAGGAGCACTGGGATGGTGGCAAACAACTGTTTGCGCTGACTGTTGACGCATAATTGAATTATTAATTTTTATTTTAAACAATGTATGACATATTGTTGCTGCTGCTGTTGCTGCTGCTGCTGCTGCTGCTGCTGCGGATGTTGCCATTGCGCCTGCCTCCGCGTGTTTATCTCTGCTGGCGGCGTGCTTCGTTCCGATAAAGAAGTTGTTTGCTCAGCGCCGATTCAGCAGCAAACAAAGTGAAAGTCGGGGCACAGAATCCACCCCCAGGGCCATTCAGACAGCCAGCCACCCACTTTGCGGCGTCCTTTAGGGCAGGAGGTCAAAATGAAGCTGTTTGTTTGGGATGTGTGTGTGCGTGTGGGTGTGTGCGTGGGTGGGTGGTTGTCTGTGGCATTGACTGACTTTTGATAATAAGTATGGGAAGATGGGAACTGCCTGGGGGCATGGGAATACTGCCAACTGAGTGCGAGCAGATAACACTCCATCGAGGATGGTAATGGCGATGGCGAGCGATGATGCTTCAGCTGTTGAAGATGCTGTTGATGATACGACACCCACTCCCATTCCCACTCCCACTTCCTGTCCAGTCCATCCCTGTTTCCAATCCATCCAATTGCCAGTTGCAATGTTGAGCTCCAAATCGTTTGAGGCTCAACTCTTCTCATCTGGGGAATTCATTATGTCGCCTCAGGGCTAAGCGCTACCCCTCCCGCGGCTGACAGCAGACTGTTGGATGCCGTCTGCAGGCCCAGCGGTTGGCCTGTCCACGGATAAGACGCGCTAAAATTGTCGCCGCCAGTGACAGGCCGCCTGGGAGGCGCCAATTCTCAGCTCCAGCCTGTCTTGTCCTGTCCTGTCCCGTGCCGCGCCGTGCCGTGCCGTGCTGTCCTGGCCTGGACATGAATAGCCAAGAAAGGACTTGTCTTGTCTTGGCTTTAGCTTTTTGTGCGTGCAAAGTGGAAAGCGTAAAAAAGCTGCAACTGAAATGTGGACAATGGCGAGGATTTGACGAGGCAGAGCCAAGAAGGGAAATAGTTGCTGAAAGCAGAAGCGCTCCCACAGCTGCAATTATATGGAAGAATCTCTGCAAAAATATTAAATACAAATTATACAAAATAATATCAGAATTAATTCGAAAGGACTCGCAAAATCCTAGAAATTGCGTACACAGATCCAGTTGCAGTTTGCAGAACGAAAAGCAGCCCAAAGGAATCATTTGAAAGACAGATTATGACAGTGGCAGCAGCCAAAACATCTCTTTATGTGGCAAAGCTGCTGCCACACAACACATTTCTATGCCCCACAGACACACAGCAACTGTACGAGCTGGGGATAACTAAAGATAACTAAAATGTGTGTGTGGCGCCACAGAAATGGCAACTGGCAACTGGCAACTGGCAGATTTCAGCGGCAGCAACAACCAGCCAGAGTAACCGTTATTAAAGATTTTGAATACCTAATTATGAAAATGTCAGTAGCAAACTTTTTTTTTGTGATGCTGTTGCTCAAAGCGACCGAGAGAGAGAGAGAGAGAGAAAGTGACAGGAACGGGACAGAATCACAGGCAGGACTCTCTGCCGCTAGGAGCTGGATGTGGCTGCTGCCATTGCCTGCTGGCTTGCTGCCTGATACCCTGGAAGAGGGTATGATGATTGGCAGAAAAGTAATCATTTCTCTTTTAGTTTTGCTTAAATTTGTATCAAATGTGAAGTGCTCTGAAAAGGGTATTACTCACTTCGTTACACTGTTACTCTCCCTTCTGTGCTGCTGCTGCTGATGCTGCTGTTGTTGTTGTTGTTGTGGAAGGAACAACAAAGTTGTTTGTGATGTGCCTCTGGCAGCCAAACACGGGTTGCTTCACTCTGCATTCAGTTCGCTGCTCAGCAGCAGCAGCAACAACAACAACAGCCAAAGAAATATGAAAAATTCCATTTTCATGTCACTCAATTGAATTTCCATTCAAAGTTCCCTCTTCCTTTTTTTCTCTCTCTTATTTTTCTGCTGCTGCTGCTGCTGCTGCTGCTCTTCTCCTCTCCTCTCCTCTCTTTTCTTTTTGCTTTTTTTTTTTTTGTTGCCAGTGACTGACGCTGACGTCGACGTAGGCGCTTTTGCCCCCACCACACACCCCATTTCAAATTTTTGCCTATTTTCTGTGAGTGTAAGCCTCCAATTCCCTAGCCACAAATACAAATGTAAATATGGATGTGTGTGTGTGTGTGTGTGTGTGTGTGTGTGAGTGCTTTGTATTTTTCGAGGTTTTGCAGCTAAATTAATTGCCTACGGATTTGTAGTTAGTTGCCATCGTCATCGCTATTGTTGGTTGCTGTTGAAAGCCCAAACACAAATACAGCCACACCAAAACTGCCTGCCACACACTCGCAAATACAAGAGGGGGGGGAGGGGAACACACGCACACACACACACACACACACACAATGGCCAAAACCCTAAAGTCCCTTTTGGTGCCTTGACTGCATTCGGGTTTTATGGTAAAAATAAATAAATTTCGGGTTTATCTCAATGGCATACAAGTCATTTGCAGCTGAGATTTTTTTGTTGTTGTTGTTCCTCTTCTATCTCTACAACTACTATTTCCCACTCCCACTCCCACTCCCACTCCCACGTTGTTTTTTTTGCACCCATCTTTATGATTATTTTTTGCCATTCCTATTCCATTCGCTGCTGTGGTTGCTTTTTGACTGCAAAGGTGGCCACCACACACACATATGTGTGATGGCTGGCTGTGTGTGGCACAATATGCTGGGAACAATTGAGGCATGACATGGAGAGATCTGTGAATGCTGGGCACGAGCTTACATCGGATGAACATTGTGCTCAAGGCGTTCAATCGCAAATGGTAATGCCAATGGGGGAATGGGAAAGATGTCCCTGAATTAACGACAAGTAGAAAGAACCTTTAAGGGCTCTGTGGAAACTATAATTAGATAAGAATAAACCGAATAATAATTCAGTTGTAATAATTCGCGTAACAATATTTAATATTCAACTAATTTCAGATTGTATTCCTCTTGTTTTTGCAATAGAATAATTATTCATTCAATGATTTATTCACCTCATTGTGGGTGCTCATTTGAATAAAGTAATTATTCATTAAATTCAATATTCAGGCAACTGCACACATTTCCTCCGGCAAAGCACAGGACAGCTCCCATTCCCAAAAATAAAACGACTCCTCCAGCCAGTCACTGCCCAATTGTCCTCCCATTGTGTGCTCTGTGTGTGTTTTTTTGGCAGTGGACAGGCAGGTTTGGGCGGGTGCCTGCCTTTGTTTAGTGGCCAACAGCGATGCCAACTGCAGTCACACTCCACACTTGGCCATAAGCATGGCCGGCACGCTGCTTGTTTTCATGCACATTTATTTACAGAATTTAAATTTAAACAAAAGCAGCAACAACAGCAATGGCAATGGCAATGGCAAAAAAAGTGACCAACCCGCCAGCGACTATGGCATTTGGGCCTGCTCCTGACAAGCTGTCTGTTGGGGCTTCAGACCGCTGGAAGCTCGTTTGCTGGACTCTCAGGACTCTCGCAGTCCGGCGACATCCTCTCCATTGACATGATTTTGCTTCAGTAATTAAACAAGATTCTCTTTCCGCAGCCAGCAGCAGCAACCGACAAAGGACATCTGCTGACAGGCTGCAAGACCTGCGCTTTGATGGAAATTAAAACCTTGAACTTTAAGCTTGCAAAGTAATTAGAATCATTAAAAACTAAATGAGAATTCTGCCTGCAGGCCTGCCACCTTTGATGTTCCTTTTTTGTGAGTTTTTTTTTGCTAAAATTCATTTTCAAATCTATTCAAAAGCGCCACTGAAAGGGTTTATTTTGTGGCAAATTCAGAATTTTGGTATTTTTTATGGCCCTCCCCCGCCCGCTAGCCAGATTTTCCCCATTTTCTTGTAACAATAAATAGTGGGTGCAGCTGCAACAACAAGAGGCAGACGCAGCACCAGCAGCAGTGACACAGCACAAAAAAAAGCACATCAGCAATGGCATCAATTTTTTGCAACATGTTGGCAAACAAGGTCTCAGCCACGCCCCCTCAGAGCGCCCCCTGTGGCATACTGGCCATGGCTGATATGGCTGCTGCTGTGGTTGTTGTTGTTGTTGTTGCTCCTGCTGCTGCTGCTGCTCCTGCGGCCACTTAAATGTCGTTATGTTGTCGGGTCACGCGCCACGTTCCAATGTCCAATGTCCAATGTGTCCCCCTGTTGGCCCACGATCATGTTCCCGTCCCAAAACTCAGCTTTGGGCCAGCGGCACGGAGGAGGAAACAACTTTATTGCCGCAGCAATTATGCGTAGCTAATAAAAACTTGGAGAGGCAGCGGGAACAGCAGCGGAACTAGAACCAAACAGCGAGAATAATAAATGCGATGATTTATTTTAAAACGTGTTTTGGCAGTCCCCAAAAAAAGGGCGACAAGTCTTAACCCATTGGCAGCACTTTCCACACAATGGTAACCTCATAAGCTTATGGGGGAAACCCACGAAAAATATTCCATAATAATCTCTTGCCTACCTTTGGGGGCATTAAAAGGACTCCGCTGCAGCCCAGCGTTGATGGGCCATCAATGGGTTAGCATGTGCGACATGTCGAAATGCAAATTTATAGTCCCACTTGACAGCAGCAGCAATAACAAAAGCAACAATCAAACAACCCAAACAAACATTGCCAACAAAAAATGGCGAATGGCTAGGGGGAGGAGTCGCACCCGGAAGCAGCAAAAATCAAATATGTTAAGCGGCATTTAAGAGCGACATCGTGCCTGCCACATGAGATAATGCCCCATGCCACCATTGCAGCCCTCCTTGAACCAGCGATGAGCTTTTATATTTTTCTAAAAATTTGCACGCATTGCATTGTTGTTGTTGTTGTTGCTGCTGCTCTTTTTGTGTTGTTTTTGGGAGTGCTGCTTGCTTGCTTGTTTGTTTGTTTGATTGTTTGTTCGGGGTACACACACGCACACACATGCACATGTGCGGTTCCCAACGTTCCCCCCTGAAAGTATGAAAAGCAACAAAAAGGACAAGCAGCATAGGGACATGCCCGCAGGCAGAAGCTTTTAATACACTTTGCAGATAGGCAGGAGATGATTCCCATGGAAATAAATGATTTACTTACCTCAGAGAACGTACCCTGCCGGACCAGGAAGGGTATACAACAAAGCGGCAAAAAGGACCATTTGCATGTGCCGGAGAGTGGGTGGAGTTAGATTGTGGGAAATGTAAACGGAATTGTTTTGCTTGCCTTGATGCTGCCTGGCTGCCTCTGCCGCCGTGTGGGTGTGTCTTTGTGTGTGACAAAGGGATAATGACTAGCCAGCCAGCTACAGCAACTCACACGACCAACGACCAACGACCCACTGGCAGCCCCCTCTTGAAGCACCGCTTGATGACGTCGACCGCGCTGCCCTGCGTGTCTTATCGCCAATGAAGGAAAACACGCACGCCACATCCACATCCGCGCTGAAGTGGTGGCAGGGAGCGCCATCTCAAGGATATGCCACACGGTGCAGTAGATGGAAATCAATTGAAGTCTCGATATCTGGCCATCAAGGCAGAGATTCCTTTTGGAGTCCAAAGAAAATGAAACAATTGACTTTGCAACTAAACAAAAGGCTAACACTCAGGAACATTTACTTGGGCAAGTCACAAGATTAACAAAGGTATTGAGAAGCGACAGGTTTAATTCTTCCATTAATAGAGTCTTCCGTTAAACTTTCGTGGATTCACAGCCAAATATTTAAACTTTTCCGCCAAACTTCGATTGGTTTAAGTGCAGCAAAAGTACGCCAGGTGGCGCGTCACTGGGCTCCTAAACGTCTACTTTTACAACACTGCACCTGCCTGGCGTTTTTTTGCTGAAGCCAACATAAATGTAATGCGCCATCTAGCGTGTGCTTATAGCAACTAGAACTGTCGGAATCTGGCGGAAAATTCAAACTTAAATTACTTGAGCTAAAAGTGAAAACTGTAATTTATAACTAAATTAATTGCACTTTATTTACGTTAAGCCCTAAAACTCATTACAATTTACAGAATTAAACAATAATTTGCTCAACAATTTCAACATAACGCAGAAAGGCGAACCCTGCCACGCCCACAATAGCGAATGCAATGCACAATAGCAAAACGTCAACAACAAAAAACAACGACGATCAACGACGATTCGTTCAATTAAATTTAAATGACTATTTCTCATTGACTCAGTTTTGTCCTTCGTAGGGGATTGGGGAGCAGTGGACTGTGGGCTGTGTGACGGCGACATCGAGTACAAATATTCTTAGCTAAGTTCTAAGCACTAATTATCACATAGTAAACTTATTCAGTAGGCTTTTTGCATCCGCGTGGACTTTGCATTGACTTTGCCGATGGACTCTCTGGGTGGGGCGCAGCTCAGCAGCTCAGCAGCTCAGCCGCTCAGCAGGTCAGCGATATCCCAGCAGATATTTGGGCAGATAGGTGATCGAGGAGAGCAGGCTATAGCTACGAGAATTCGGGATAGATAGAGAGTGGATTGTCGGGCAGATGTGTGAGTTAAGTTGTTCGATCATTTATTGTCAATTGAATCGTGTCACCATCGGAGTGAGTATCATAATTAGATAAGTATTTGCGTATCTGTAGGCATAAGTACGTGTATCTCAACCACCAATGTTAACCACAACCACATCAATCGGAGACCATAGCTCCGTAGTTGTCTGCTCCTGCCCGGAGGCTGTCCGTTCCTCCTCGCTGTTTCTGAGGTTTTAGTTTTTGTTGGTTTTATTTTGTGTATTGTTGCATGAGCCACACCAGTGTAGAAAGTAAAATATGTTAACTTGATTATTTATCGTGTTTTAAAAGTAAAATGCAAGCGGAAATGGTAGAGCACGAACAAACAAACAAACAGAATGGAATGCAAAGTCCAGCACCAGGAGAACACTTTTGGATTAACCGAATTGTACATACGAATTGGTCAGTCCGCGATAGAACCACGACTTCCACGACTTGGAGGACTCCTCATCGATCTTGGACTCGACATCCGTGCAAAAGTGTTTCCGATCGTGTGAGCGTCCACTCTTGCAGTCGCATATCAGCCGCTTCTTGCACTCGGCATCGCAGGTGGGCCGCGCCGGTGAGTTTTTCCAGTAGTATCTATTGAATAATTAATCAGCCACGAAACAACTACTAAAGCGCACTGGCACCTACTTGTAGTAGAGCTCAAAGAGCTCCTGATTGTTGGTCAGTTCGTTGATCAGATTGTTCCAATCGCTGGGCCGCAGCGCCTTCATGTTGTAGGCCGCACGGGCTGTGTACAGCTTGTACCAGATGGGGTAGCCGTACAGATTGGCCTCCTTCAAGTTCATTATCCAGGACTCGTGATCGATGACCAGACGCGTCGTCGAGTCGTGATCCCCATCCACATAGTACACGCGATAGCCAGGATTCAGATCGTAGTACGGCGACACAGAAGGTCCGATGTAAGCAATGCTGTTGGGATGATCTGCAAACAGAACAGATTAGAAATATTCTCTAGGCTGCAGATCGGTAGATCATTCCTTACTCAGATCGTGTGGATCGTAGAACATCTCAAACTCATCGTAGTGCGTGTGGCCATAGAACTGTGCCGTGATGGTGCTCTCGTAGCGTGAAATAATCTTGTAGAAGTTGCGCGACCAGACCTTCAGGCAATCCGAATGCCCGGGCGGTATGTGGCCTATGACATGGACCTTCTCGTTGGAGAACTCTGCACTCTGCAGCTCGTAAATGAACCTGTAAGATACCAAGAGATATTTGTTACAATTACTTGTGGGACTTTCTTCCCTTTATTTCCCGCCTCACCATTGCAGCTCCGTGGCTGGATCCGTGGAGTTGAGCAGCAGCCACCAGTTCTTGTTGTTGCAGTAGTTCATGTTCAGCGAAATGATGCGGAATCCAGGGCGCACCAGCACCGAGTAGAAGGCGCCACGCCGCACCGTGTGGGTGACACTCTGCGGCAGCCAGCGGCGCCATTGGACATCGAGTTCGTCGTAGAGCCAGCTGATGGAGATGTCCACCTGGTTGACGTACGGCGGCGGGAAGCTGTTCACCGGCGCACTCTCGTGGTTGCCCAATGCCGGGAAGATGGGAATGCCGGGGAACTTCTCCACCATCTGTTTCACCGTCTCCTTGATGATGGCCAGATTCTCCTCCTTCGTCTGGTTCCACACATCGTGGGGCGGCAGATCGCCCGTCCACAGGATGTAGTCAATGTCCTTGTGCGTCTCGGCAATGTGCGCCAGCATGTGGTCCACCGTTCGCTTCGGCGTGTCGCACTTGCGGTAGTCGCCCCACTTGCCAGCGGCCGCATTCGGAGTGGCGGGCCTTCCGCTGCTCAGCCGGCAGCAGAGAGGCTCGTTGCAGTCCGCATTGGAGCCCTCGGCGTAGTGGGGATCGTAGTGGGTGTCGGAGATGTGGAGCACCTTGAAGAAGGGCGCCGCCTCCATGGGTATGGGCAGATCGGCGAGACGCGGCGGCTTGGGCACCGGCGGGAAGATCACCTCCCACTCGTGATACGGATTGTAGACATCGCCGCAGCCATCGCCAATGATGAAGCTGCAGAGCTCGTCGGGACTGAGATTCACCCGCTTGATCACGTAGATCAGCTCGCTGCCAAAGAGCTGCGCCACGCCCTGGCAGACGCGGGCACTCTGGATGTTCAGATTGGTGCAGTAGTCCGAGATCATGCGGATCAGCTCCGCGTCGGTCTTGCCCGACTGGATCTGATGCTGCAGCATGCCGGAGCCGGCGCGGCAGGCCGTGCACGTGACCTTTGACATGACACTGTTCTCGATCTCGAATGCCACCTGCTTGAGATTGAGCAGCTTCAGTGCCTTGTCCACGAACGGCGGATACACGAGCCCGTCCCCAGAGCCCACATCGTACCACAGCATGCGGGACGTGGACGTCTGATTGTGCCTGATGTTGACCAGCCGCTGCAGGAACTCTGCATCCGAGCCATCGCCCGAGGTGGCCGCACTGTGGGTGCGATTCGGATGACTGACCAGATCCAGGTGCGGCTCAATGCTGCGCGGCTGCTCCTCGATCACCCAACGCTCCAGCGGCGGCTGCGTCCAGTTTATCTGCGGCCTGAAGCGTGGGAATAGAAAGGGGAGTGCTCCAGCTGCAAGTGGAATTGGAATTCCAGTTAGAAAAGCGATCTCCCAATTGTTGGAGAGGTGCTCCACTTACCCTCTGGCAGCAGCGTTAGAACTGCAAGCAGAGCGACTGCCATGAGTGCGATGAGCCTGCAGTTTCCCCTGGGACTCGGCCATGGTGGCTGCTGTGTCATAATTGCTGGGCTGGTGACGTTCTGCCTCTGGATCGGCCAGTTCCACAGCAGTCGGCTTGACCTACATCCGAGGGTATACCCAAAGAGCAGAGACAACAATTTGGAAGAGTCATTATTGTATGTTAAACGGGTTTCATTATGAGCAGAGGAGTGCTGCTCCTTCGTCAGCTTTTTCGGCTTTTTATATGCAGTTTCTTTTTCCTGCTTTTTACGTTTATTCAGTTTGTCGACCCAGTAAAAAGTGAAGCAATTTATGTAATTTCTTGAACGGGGGGATCGTAAATAACTTTTGCGGCTGTCGTAACATAAATTGTGCTTTTGTGTTTTTTAAAGAGTAAATAAAAGAGCAGCATTAAGGAAATGGCTGCCTGCTGCTGGTGTGTTGCCCAATCAAAGTCCTGAAACATTTGCCCTATAGCGTATCGGTATCTGTAGTTATGTGTGGCCCTGCCTTTCATCAGCATTTGACAGCACTTAAAATCTCGTTAGCTGCTAATGGCAGACATGTGGCAGAACACCCACAACATCGCAGCACAAGGGGCACGCAGCAGCATCATCGGTAGCCAGGCAACTGCCACCACTTGACGCCTCCATGCAACATTAGATGAAATTGTTGCAGCGCTCTTATTTGGATTGACAGATACATTTGTATCTCACTGGACCCCCATGACTCGCGTGCTTTTATTTTGTGTGCAGCACTGGCTGGTGGGTTGTCAGTTTTATTTATTGTTTTACTCAGTTTCTAGTTATCAGCAGCTCGCTCCCGCTATTTGTAGAAAACAAATAGTTGCGCTTTGAATAAGATTTAAACTATTTAATTATAGCGCTTGCAGAGAGCCCAGAAAGGGGTTATCAAGCAGCTGCCAGCACTTATCAGTGTGAATAATAGAGCGGAGATGCTTACGGCACATAAATCAACAACATTCTTATCAGCATTGGAGACAGATTGGACGGCTGTACACAGCTCAAGCTATGCCACTAACTGAGTGACAAATTCACGAATATTTCCAGCGTAAATATCTCATTTAAGTCCCTTGAGCTGCTGCTCCTCTTTTATGAATACGAGCAAGCTAAATTGCATCTTTTTATGCCATTCAATTGCCAGCTATGAGTATCACATGACACGATGCCAACAACATAGAGGCAGCAACAGCTCGTATAATCAAAACAAACAAATAAGGCAAATTGATTCGTTTGCCTCCAGCCAACCTTCAGCAGAGCTCAATGCCATCACCGTGGATGTCATCCAGACATGCCTTAAAGTGCCTCTTGGCCTCATCTATTGGGCTGCCCAGACAAACAAAGCGAAACAGTTGAGCCTCTGGTCTGCGGGATGGGACTGGGGCTGGGGCTGGGGCTGGGGCTGTGACTTGGACTGTGGTTGGGTCTGCGGCTTAGGGTACATTGGCCTCTCCTCGGAGTGAAATCGTCATCGTCTCGGTGTATAATGAAAACCAAAAACTTTTTATTTACCATCTTGTGCGATTTGTGCGAAAACCGAAAGTGTCGCTCAGGCAGATCACAGGGTTCACTTCACTTTAAAAATATGCATTATTAACACACTGCAAAACTCGTTTCGTGGACAAGGTTAGGCACTGCTCTGGAACTGGGGGGGGGGGGGGGGGGGCAGCACTAATTTCCAGCTGAATGCAGGTCAAGTTAGAGGCAACAAAATGCTTGAACCCCAACAGGCTGTCGGGGCCAACAAAAGACATTACAAAACTATCAAAAAACTAAGCAAACGCGTAAATGTTTTTGGTTTTATTTTTATAAATGTTTCTTGGGGCGAACCGGTTTACGTATCGTATCGGTTATGGCTGGCAGCACGTGGTCGGTAAGTGGATTTTTGGCACAACATCTGCATCCGATGGTTCTCAGCTTTCCTTTCCCATTCAGAGTCGTCGTCTTCATTCAGGGCACGATTCCCCCACTCTCCAACCCGAGGAAAGGCTCCGACGAAGCAGACGAAGGGCCGGGGCAAGGCACAATGAAATCAGCTCCCGGCGCAACGGTAATTCCAAAAGAAAAAGAAGTCAAAAATGTTGTACGCTCCCCAAAAAGAAAACTTTCACTTTCTTTAGAAATTATATTTTTGATAATGCTCGTATAATTTCTTCTTTCTCTCTCGCGCGCATCGTGCCCGCACTCTACTCCGGAATGTGCTAACCAGCCAGTCCCCGCAACCCACACCCAACGCTTGTTTGGCTTTTATCTCAGACTCTGTCCTCTGTCTTTTTTAGAGTCTATTGTATAACGGTGCAGGCAGGCAGACAGGCAGACAGGCAGTCACGCTGCATGTAATGATTTAATGAACATTTCTTGTTTTATAATAATTAGGAGAGAGATGGCAGACGACCCCTACGTGGGAAGGGAGACGAAATGGAATGGAATGGAAATGAAATGAAAACGAAAGTAAGTTTCTTTTGTTTTCCAGAAATGCCTTTATTTATGTATTTATGTATGTGTGCTTGGATTTCACAATGAAAAGCACGTCAGGGAATCCAATCGAAGCTGAGAGAGCTTTTAGTTCTGAACAGCATTGCATTCAAATGATATTTGAGTGGGTTCCCAGCCAAGGAAGAAATGAGTTCCACTGCCGCCATAAACATTTAAGGCACGTCCTACGGAAAACAATGTAAAGTGTGGCAAATTAATCAGCAAATGTCTGATCCGATCTCTATTCCCCATTCTCTCTCTTCTTCGTTGATCTTAAATCCACACCTCGAAATTTCTGGGATTTATTATTGATTGATATTCATGGTCAAGCTTCGGTATTCGTGCGAGTTCGTATGCGAGCTTGCGCTTATGTAGATGCTCACTGGAATAGCCTCGTCATGACCAAACACTGGCCTATTTATTTGCTTTTGGTTTTGGTTAGCAAGAGCTAATTAAATATGCACCCGCCGAATACCTGACACGCACAGCAAACTGCACGCAAATAGAAACAGCAACAGAGACAAAAACAGAGACAGCAACAGACACACAGATACACAGAATATGCCAAAGACGGACAAAACTAATGAAAGCGCTGCGTAACCAGCCGCTCAAGAAGTCTTGCGTATGCCAAATGAATACAAATTCAATAGAGAGAGAGAGAGAGAGAGAGAGGGCAATACAGAGAGCGAAAGAGTGGGATATTTATGAGAAGAGAGAGAGAGAGAGAGAGAGAGAAGAAAAGTGAAACAAAGTGCAGACGGATGAGATGACAGCTTTACAGCATAACTCATGATTTTGCAAGCAATTCAGAAAAATCTCCAGTCTGCGGCGCATGCGTGACAGTCCCAGTCAGGGGGAGGTGGGAAAAGAGGTAGCAAGAGGCAAGCGCCGATACACCGCCAAGGGAAATGCGCAAACGTGTTTTTCCTGCGTTTCTGACGAAATGTGTAACAGTAAAAAACAGTAAGAAAACTACCACAACTGGTTTGTACAGAAACCGATTCAAACCAAAATATTGACAGCCACCAACACCTGCTCAATGCAGCTCAATGGATTTGTTGGATTTCCCGCACTTACATACCTGTCCAAAAAAAATTCACCTACAATCAATATTGCTTTTGCTTTGCTTTGTGCAAACACAATCTCACCGGCTAAACGACGGACGCGGCGAACTTTCGTTCTTCACTTGACTTGACCCACAGCGACCGCTAACCGAACCGAAGCTGCTGCACTGAGGCCTGCTTTTGTTCTTTGGATTTTGATTTGGGCTTGGGATTGGGCTTTTCGTTTTCTATTTCTTTACCTTTATCTTTCTCTGTTTCGCTTTTTCCTTTCTGTTGCTTTGGCTTTGGCGGGTACACTTTATTTATAGACAATATTGTGCCATAATTCGCGACTCTCCTTTGTTGATTGGCCTCATTTATTTACGTTTCATGTGTTTAGTTTAAGCTTTTACTACCCACACACAATGCAATACAATACCATACAACAAGTACACTCGTATTTATATTTCTTTTTTGGCATGCACTTTACAAACGCGTTGTTTCTGCTTTATTTGTTGCTTTTGTCGTAGATTTCACCCGCTTGACAGAGTCTCTTCAATGGAAGCCCAAACGCGTTTCTCCGCTGAGAAGAGTCAAAAACCGTTCGTTCGCAGTGAACCGCCGCCACGAACAGACGGAAATAATGCTATGGGATGGCCAGAGAGTGACATTCGAGCCGAGCTTGCTGATAAAGTTTCATGATCTGCGCACCAGAGAGTGAGAGAGCGAAAGCGCGCGGCAGTATGTTGTGCAGACAGAGAGAGAGAGCGAGCGGCGTCATATGTGATGCAGAGAGAGTGAGAAAGCTTTTGGTTTACCGTACAATAACAGCAGAGAGTATGAGAGTGAGCGTGATTTCGTTTAGCTTTTCGGCGACCTGCATGAATAACTTTTGACTTTTAATTAGTTAGTCTGATGTTTTATCTCTAATGGAAATTTTTCTACTATTGTTTAGCAATCGGAAGTACATGTGAATAGTAACCAGCTAATTGGCCTATTAAGTCACCGAAATTCAAATGAATAACGCTAAAAAATGTTTCAGAGTTCTAATGAGTTGAGGTTTATGTATATATTTGCACACATATGCAGCTATCAGCGGCCGTGACAATCATTCTGGATCGGAGCAGTGGGCGGGGCTGGAACATTAATCAATCAATAATCTCTGGCCCCCAGCCTGTGTCAATGCACTCGAGTGATTTATGACGCTGGCCTATCAGGCGGAGGACTCGATTGACGCACTCTGGGAATCGTCGCGCCGATTGTAGACGGTGAACACGTCATGCTTGAAGCTGAAGAAACGTTGCAGGCTGCTCGGATCGGCCTCCAACTCAACTGCACGCTGGGCAGATGGCTCCACTTCCTGCACTGCGCTGGTCTTTGGCGGATTGCGCGCGGGCTGGCAGCGCCAGGTGATGGTCAGCTGTGGCAGACCACAGCAACAGCAGCAACAGCAGCCCAGGCTGAACGGCTTGGCTGGCTCCGAGGGTTCCGTGGGCATGGCTACGTCCTGGCCGCGACCCGACCGGCGGCAGCAAAGGATGTCCCTGGTCTTCTGCTTCAGCAGGGAAACGGTGCGAATGGTCTGCGTGAGGAAGGTGTAGAAGAGCGGGTTCAGGGCGCAGCTGAGCAGATTCATGATGCCAAAACTGAAGTACAGCAGCCAGTCGACGGGATCCGAGTAGGAGCCGTACAGGCGCATGATCAGGAAGATCCAGGCGGGCAGGCGCAGGCAGATGAAGACGGCCATCATGAGGATCACGACGACAACCATGCGTCGATGGCGTGCCTCGCGAGCCTGTGCAGCTGGACCCATGCCACTCGGTGGTGGCGCCTCATTCGTGTTGCTCCTTGCCGCTTGCGGGCTGGAGGGCACTGAGGGCAGAGGCGGCTTGTCGATGACAAACGGCAGGGCCACACCCATTGCACTGGCCAGTGTCGAGGGCATCAGAAGATCCCCATTGCTGGCGGGCAGTGACTTGAATTGTCCCGCCTGATCCTGTTGCGTGTCCTGCTGCTGCTGATGGTAGTGGCGCAGCACCCACAGCTGCCGCGCAATCACCGCGTTCAGCCAGAGGAAGCTCACGATGCAGGGCAGGAAGATTAGGGCGAACAATATGACGTAGATGAGGCCTTCATTGTGCTGCGCATAAACAAAGAACCAATGCATGAATGTTTTTCCCACGCTCAGCGATAAGATAATAATCCCCGTAATCACCCAGATCCCCACGTAGTGCAGATATTCTGCCCTTCGACTTACGTTGCCCGCCAGGCACATGCTGACCAGCTCCAATTCGGTTACCTCCAGGCTCTCATCGGTCTCCCCTTCGTCGGTTGTCTGCAGCTTCAGCTCCATCTCCAGCAGATAGATCTTCTGGTGCTTGTAGATGCCAATCAGTGGCGCAGAGGCGCCAATGGAGCACAGCCAGATGAGGCCAACGATAAGACAGCTGAAGCGAATGTCAGGATTCCAGAAGCCCAGCACTGGCCGCATCACGGCCAGGTAGCGATCCGACACAATAGCCACGAGTGTCAGGCTGCCAGAGAGCAAAGATGTGGTGGTCACAAAGGGCACAAACTTGCACATAAAGCCGCCAATGGTCTGGGGAGGGGAAACATGCAAGAAATGTTTGCCAAAAGATTAGACTCAAAACTCACCCACAACTGCAGATATTCCGCATGGAATTGCGCCATGTACGAGACGCTGCAGAACACACTCGAAACGAGATCGGAGAAGGCCAGCGAGAGCAGACAGGCACGAAAGAACGGACGCAGCTTCCTTCGAGTGTTCACATAAATGGTGCTCAGATTGCCAAAGAGTGCCATCAGAAAGAGGGAGCCCACGACGCACATAAAGGCATTCCGCTTGAGGCGATTCAACTGGCTGAGATCCTCCACAAATATGCCCGGATAGGGCTCGTTCGCAGGGCTCTCCGCCACCGTGGTGTTGTTCTTGCCCAAGGCCCATTTCAGGTACAGCTCCAACTGCTTCCAAGTGTACGACAGAAGCGCCATTTCCAGCTGGGCAGCCCACAAGTATGCAACCAGTTTGCGCGCCAGCTTTCGCATCAGAACTGTGGAAACGCCAGATATGGGGTTTTATTCTGGCTACCGATTGCCAGCTATTATCGCTTCGTGCCAGATAGCTATCGGTTGTCATAAGTGTTCGCCGCTCGTTGCACATCAGAATGGATGAATGATGATAGCAGAAAACTTATCAAATGAATGTACAGCTGGGGGCAGCATAATAGTAAAGCAAACACGAGTAAAATCACTCAACCTTTGGCCATGAAAACAGTCCCACATCAGCCTTAAATAACTCAAGTAAAACATTGTTGATATAGCTTTGATTTCATATTTATTTTGCGACATTTTCTTGGATTGTGTATCCATCCATATATAGCACATGTTTTGTTTTTGTTATTGTCCACCTCAAGTTGCACAAGTTCAGCTTCAAAAAATACAACGTACATTCATATATGGTGTATGGTAAAGATATTATCTATATAATTATGCTTAGCTAAAAAAATTATACAAGGATTCTTTGATTGCAGTTGAAACTTAACAGCAAAAGCCTAGGGGAAAACGAAACCTAAGAGTAAAACTTATTCTGAAGAGTGCTAAACCTAAGCAGGCAGGCAGGCAGGCGGGCAAAAGGCAGGACAAAGGAAACATTTTATACAAACATTTATGGCTAGCTACAATCGAAAATTACAAAACTAAGCACTCGCAAATACTTGGAATCTGTTGGCAAAAAACACAGACACACGCGCACAGACACACACAGATACTCACACAGAGGCAGTCTCAGAAGCTGCCAATCGCTCGCACACAAACATTTGCCACGAACATCGATAAGTGTAGAATAAAGTATTGTATTTGTATGGTTAGAGTTTAGAGTTTAGAGTTTAGAGTCTTTTAACCAGCATAGTGGTGGAGAGTACTTGTGTAGGATAGTTGGATAGATTATTCGATATTAGGTAGCTTTACAACGACGGATAGTTTCCTGCTTTTTGCTTGTTTGTTGTGGTATTTGCTGTTGAAAGTGCAGCGAAGCCTTTTTAGTGTCCTGCAGCTAGTAGTATGTCTCGTGGGATCCATCCAGACACTGGCTGGACATGTGCAGCGTGAGCGTCTGATAGGGCAGCGGCTTGCCCATGCTCAGATTTGCCGTCACATAAACCAAATAGCTGGAGCCGGGCATTAGATTAAGAATGGTCTCTGTCTCAATGTTGTCGGAGCTGCAAAAGGATAGGGAAAGGCTTGAGAAGAGCTGAAATATCAAGGGATTCTCTGACCTACCTTTGCTGTCGCTCTCGGCAGGTCATCCACTGGAAGTTCTTGTACTGCATCACCTGTTTGGGCACAAAGTCCATGCAATAGTTGGTGGAATCCACAACGCTGCGATTGCGCTGCGGCAGATTGAACACAATGATGCAGTAGCTGCAAAAGGGGAAGAGCAAACGCTACAGTAGAGGCTGTGTACTGGCCAGTTTCGAGAGCTTACCTGAGTTCCCGCTCATCGGGTGAGCCATTCCAGGCTATGGTCGCTCGATTGCATCTCGTACGCACATTGAAGACGCTGATGTTCAGCGGCAGCTCCGGCAGATCACGGAACAAATGCTCGCTGCTCACAGCCACCTGCAGGAGGTAAGGAGAATCCTCGCTTAGTCCGGGAACCTTCGTAAAGGTTCACTCACTTCATTCCATCCCACTCACCAACACTTTCTGGGCACGCACCGCCTCATCCTCGTTGCTGGGCTCGAAGCGCATCAAGTAGCGTTCGCCGGGCTGGACCCCGTCCTGCCGCAGATACGTGGGCCGGTAGAAGGCATCCGAACGGATCACCTCATTGCGCTGGCGGAGCAAATTCACGCGAATCTCGCTGCCCGAGCAGGGCAGAAACAGATGCCGCATGTAGGTCGGTGGCGGCTCCGTCTGCGGCACCTTGAAGCTGTACACCTGCATGCCATGCTGGCCCCCGATCTTCAGCAGATTGAGCGACTGCTGGCGTAGGGCCATGGGCTGAGTGCGATTGAAGCTCACCTGGCTGCTGCTCAGCAGCATCGTGAGGTTCTGGCGACTCTGGTGCACACCGTAGAGATCCAGCTGGTAGCTGCTCTTGGGCAGCAGACGGCGGAGCACCTGCTGGCGTCGCTTCCCCGTGCACACAATGTGCAGATTGTGGCGAGGATTCAGGCGACGCTCGCGCTTCGGTGGCGTGGCCCAGACCAGATCCAAGGGACTGCCAGCGCTGTAGCAGCCCGTGGCTTTTGGATGATTTTGCTCCACATAAGCGCCAACAGCCTGGCAGAAGTTGGCAAAGGGATTGCGAAAGGGCGAGCTAACCATGCGCTGAATGACCAGACAATAGTGCATCGCATGGTAATCGAATTTGCTGCAAAGGGCAAGAGGGCTTAGAGCTGTGTCTTACTTCTGTGTCCCCACACTCACCTGCGATCCCATTTGACAACCATTTGACGCTTCCGCACACGATTGTGGCTGCGAATGTGGATGCGATGCGTTTCGTTGAGCAGCGGCCAGGCCTGCTGCGGATGCTCGGCCAGGGCGTCCACCTTCAGGGCGCCGGCCTGTCGCGCCTGCACAAAGAGATCGTACTGGCCGGGCAGGGCGCAGGGCAGCACCAGACTCCCCACAGCAATGCCAGGGCCAGGTGGAACGGCCGCTGGTCGCAGTACATTCGCTGCCAATCGTTTGATGATCACAATAACGATGATGATGATGAGGTTCTTGTGGCAGAGCGCTTACCTGTCTGATTGTAGTACATCTTGCGGCCCACGGTCACCGAAAAGAGAATCGTCAGCGGCGTTGAGACGTTCAGGTTCAGCACAAAACTGCAGGAAGAGTGAGGCGAGAAGTTGAAAAAGGGTTGGACTAAGTGAGCTGTTAACGCCCTGTGTCAAAAATGATGACACTAAATTATCACACGCAATTTGTTCTGACAGAAGGACAGGCCTCGTGTCCCAAGTGAACCAAATGAGTCAGCGGGTTTGGGGCTAGGTTGTACCCTAACCAGAAGAGGAGCAAGCTTGCGGAACAGCTTGGAGGGCAGCTTCAATCCACAGGCAAAGGGAAGCTAAAGAGCATCCAAGCCGCGACTTCCATTTGCCTGGTTGCTGCTGGCGCAACATTGTTGCAGCCAAAGATTGTGCGAGTCCAAGTACGAGTCTGCTTGCCTGATGGCATGTGCTGCTGCATTGTAATTAAATGAGATATTTACGATCAGTTTTTCTAATGACAAATGGCAGAGACAAATGTGCTGCGCTGTCCGAAACACCCACACGGATGGGCAGTCAAGGATGCTGCAGGATACGGAACGGCAGATGAGTGTAGATGGAGATGGAGATGGAGATGGAGATGGAGTGCGGATAGCTATTGGCCATTGCAGCAAATGACTCATTGACTTGGCTGATGGCCGGCGGGGCCATCTCGAGTTTTTATTTTTATGACCAGCTACTTCCGGGCAACGTCGCCCCCGCACCAAAAGGATGTTCATGTGCATGTCCATGTCCGTGGATGGTTTATGTGTGTCTGTGTGTCTGTGTGTCCGTTTTTGGCTGGCCTGCCAAAAGGTTCTCGGGCAGAGTGATGGAGTGTTTTAATGCATTCGGGCCTGGGCGCCGACGCGACTGAGCCAATATTTGCTTTAATTTAAGCCTCGCATGTTGCAATTGCAATTGTTTGCCTCTGCCACTGCCACTGCCACTGCCACTGTGGCAGTATCCTTGTTGGCGGCCAACTGATGACAGCAGTCAATTATATAAAAGGCAAACATCAGCCAAAGACGAAAGTTGAATGCGCTCGGGCTCGTTGTGAAATGATTTAATGGACCCCAAATCGAAATTGTCTGCGGGAGTTGGCCCCAGGGCAGATGACTCAGGATATATGCCGCCCCATTCGTGTGTAGGGTGTGCGGCACATCACATGCAGCGCGCAGGAGTCAGACACAGTTGACTTCCCATCGTTCAGCGTGACAGACAAAATGTGGTCAAATTACCAGAGTGCGAGCCGCCTGCTGCTGCTGCTGCTGCTGCTGCTTCAACGGTTACTCCTCGTCTATGGCATCGTGAATCCCGCCAATGACACAGCCAACACGGTGATCTATATGCTGCCCGCCAAGGATCTGGGCCCCGAGACCTGGCGTGCGGGCGTGGACTGCCTGGACAGCTTTGCGCAAATCTTCTTCTTTCGGAATCCGCGGGAACGCTTCACCCGCTCCTACAACCTCATGCTGACGAACTCCTTCAACCTGTCCATGCCCGCGGATCAGATCCAGGAGGGTTTCCACAAGCTCATCAATGAGGCGGTCGCCCGGGCTGGGGAACCGCACCGCTCGGAGCTCTTTCAGCTGCGCGTCATCTCCGATCATGAGGACATGAGGAGCAAAGAGAGGAACAAGAACTTCGGGGAGCTGCTGCTGGCCGACAATTATGTGATCATTGTGGACACCGTCGAGCGGCTGCTCAGCCTCATGAGTCGCTATGTGAGTCGAAAGCGCTCGTGGAATCCGGGCGCCCGCTTCCTGGTGCTCTTCCACAATCCCCAAGTGCACAATCGACCCTTGCGCGTGGCCTCCCAGATCTTCAGCGAGCTGATGAGCAGCTTCTACGTGCACCGTGTGGCGCTGATATACGCCGACTCCGCGTTGGACTACAATCTGCTGGTGAACGATTACTACAGCAACGTGGACTGCCGCATTCTCAGTGTGCAGAGCGTGGGCCAGTGCCACGACGGGCGGCTCTTTCCCAGCCCCAAAGCCGTGTACACTGCCATGACGGACTACATCTCTGGCTTCAGTCCCAAGAACTGCACCTTCTTCGTGTGCGCTTCGATCTCGGCTCCGTTCGTGGAGGCTGACTGCATTCTGGGCATCGAGATGAGGATCCTGGGCTTCATGCGCAACCGTTTGCAGTTCACGGTGAGCACTCGGCGCCCTCAGCTCTAAATTATATTCACGCTTCCCTCCGTCCGCAGATCAATCAAACGTGCAGCTTGGAGTCACGCGGGGAAATGGACAGTTCGGGCAACTGGAACGGTCTGCTGGGCAAGCTCACAGATGGCGAGTGTGACTTTGTCATAGGCGGCTACTATCCGGATAATGAGGTGGCCGATTTCTTCTGGGGCTCCGACTGCTACCTGCAGGACGCACACACCTTCTACATCAAGGTGGCCGATCGCCGGCCCGCCTGGCAGGCCATGGTGGGCATCTTCGAGCCAAGCACCTGGATCGGCTTCATTGTGGTGCTGCTGATCAGCTGGCTGTTTTGGTTCGTGCTGGTCAGCCTGCTGCCGGAGCCGGACTACTTCCAGCAAATCAGTTTGACGGCCATCAACGCGCTGGCGGTGTCCATCTCGGTGGCCGTGCAGGAGCGGCCCGTCTGCCAGTCCACGCGCCTCTTCTTCATGGCCCTCACGCTGTACGGCCTGAACGTGGTGGCGACGTACTCGTCCAAGATGATAGCCACCTTCCAGGATCCCGGCTATCTGCATCAGCTGGACGAACTCACGGAGGTAATGGCCGCTGGCATACCCTTTGGCGGGCACGAGGAGAGCCGCGATTGGTTCGAGAACGAGGACGACATGTGGGTCTTCAATTCGTACAACGTCTCGCCAGAGTTCATACCCAAGACGGACAACCTGCTGGCCGTCAAGTTGGGACAACGCTGCATCCTCAGCAATCGCATGTACACACTGCAGAGTCCCCTGGCCGACGACATCTTCGCCTTTCCGCAGAACTTCTTCACCAGTCCCGTGCAGATGATCATGAAGGCGGGCTTCCCCTTTCTCTACGAGATGAACAGCATCATCCGCTCCATGCGGGACGTGGGCATATTCCAAAAGATTGATGCAGACTTTCGCTACAACAACACCTATCTGAATCGCATTGCCAAGATGCGGCCGCAGTTTGCCGAGAATGCCATTGTCCTCACCACGGAGCACCTGAAGGGACCCTTTGGCATTCTCGGCGTGGGTGTGCTCTGCTCCTCTGTGGCCTTTCTGGGTGAGTTAATGATTCGCTATTGGCCGTGCAGGCTGCAGGTTAAGCAGCAGCAGACTGCCACTCGCACTCGCAGGAAGAGGCCGAAGGACGCAGGAAGGCTGCGTGGAAGGAGCCAGTGGGAGCGTCAAGTTCAAGTGGCTCCAGTCATACGATTTACGCCAGTGAAACGACGCAAAGTTCTCTAGAGATTGGGGGATTGGCTTTGGCTTTGGCTTTGTCTTTGGCTTTGGATAGACAAACAATCCAGAAGGAAAAACTAAAGCAAACTCCGAGTAGCTAGCGATAAAAATTGACTCAATTCCCATAAATTTGCAATTGAGAGACAACCCCAACGTGGTCTTCCTTGTCTTCTGTCGTTTGCGTCGTCTGGTCTGGTCTGGTCTGGTCTGGTCTTTGGTCTGCTTCTGTGTCTCGTGTCTCGTGTCTGGTCTCTGGCTCGGTCTGGCCTGGGTCTGCTTGTTCTGTTACTTTTCACGCGAAATACTTAAAATCAGAGACAAAATTCTATTTTTGCAACTATCACAAGCGGCGAAGGCAACAAAAGTGAACAGCAACAAAAGCAGATGCAGGCAGGCAGTCGAAGAGGGGAGCAGCACCCCCCCCCCTGGCACCCTCCACCTTCCACTTTCCGCAAATTGACAATCAGCATTCAGCTTCAGCTTCAGCTAGGGAAAACACCCAGAAAGCATCAGCGGGAAAAAATACTCCAAAAACCGAAAACAGAGATAAAGTACAAGACGTTAGGGAGACATTCCTATAAGTAGCACATCGCGCTGATTGCCAGCACAGTCTATAAAGAACGTCACAGCATCCAAAACAAATGTCCGCGACTGTTATCGGATTGAAAAAGTTTCGATATGAAAATAAGAATTACTCCAACTCGCCTCACACATGCAGGCAAATGTTTTGAGCAGCAGAGAGCTTGTGTTCAAATTGGAAAATTACTTTGCAAATTCGAATTAAATCTATAATAAATGGTGGAGAAAGAGATGCTATAAATCTGTTATCGTTGTGTGGGGGAAATTCTTTGGAATGGCCTTTTAAAATGTGGCATTCCAAATGCATAAACTAGACTTTGATGTAAATAAAGCTCACATTTCACTTGGAGTCCTGTTTTGAGGGTAGTGGGCACATTATTTGATATCTCTATTATGCCGCTGAATGATTCAGACCCACAACAATGCCCAATGTCCACACACAGGCAGACACAAAACTCAATTACTCACACCGAAATGGGCGCACTTAGTGGCACTCTTGGGCCCCGGTAGACTATTGAACTATGCCGCACTACTGCCTCCATCTAACTCATCTAACTACATATGTGCCTCAGTGTCTGACTAAGAGCACTCGGACCCAAATTGAGCGACGCATTGCGACGCCCCTGTGTCTGTTCCGTCGTGCATCGCGGTTCGCTTTGGTTCTGATGCTGATGCTGATGCTGATTCTGATTCCAATTTCTGTTTCTGTTTCTGTCTGCTGCCCCGTGTATTTTCGTACTGTGGCCAGTGCTATAAATACTTTACTATGCTAAAAGGTATACCCACTATAGGAGATGTTTTCTGTTGCTCTGAATGATGACGATGACGATGACGATGCCGATGACTGTTTACTGTCGATGATGATGATGTTTTTACGCACTCAAAAGAGAAAAACAAAGAATTATGCACAACTTTTCATTGCAAATTGTTTGCCATGGTCGCTGCTGCTGGTGGCTCCTTCGATACGCTTACAAATAAATAGTTTCACGCCATAAAGCAGGCCAGGCAGCCACAAGGGGGAGCTGTGTGGGAGTGGACAGTGCAATAAAAGTTGTTTACATCTCTTGAGCCTGCGGCGCACATAAAAATGCAACAAACGACACAACACACACAACAACAACATCCACATGCAGCATATGTATTAACAGAATATTTGTTTTGATATCCTGTAGAGCAGCAGGCAGACAGGGGGGCATATTCGAGTGCAGCAGCTAACTGGTGACTTGTGCCAAAGGGGTAACCCATAGTCGACACGGTGGCCACAACGGGAGAGCGAGCGGCGGCTGCTACAGGTGGCCGCTGTGGCTGTTTCTGTGGTGGTTTTGGTACGATTCGAATGATCGAATTGGGAATCGAGGAATTGGAATTGTGCCGTCGAATTAAGTCGTTAAATTAATATTTATGATTTGTTTGCGCAAAAATATTAACGGCTCTGGCAGTTGATTGGCAGGCCACAGAGTGAAGGCAGGCAGGCAGGATATGCCTATGGCGATGGGACATGCACTGGCAGGCGGATCGTTGCTGATTCTAGCAAAACTCTTAATGACTGCACGCGCCATAAACTGCGCTCGCGACTGCTCTCTGGCGACTCGCACTCCTTTTCACACGCTCCACCAAAACTGGCTAAACTCGAGACGAACATCACGTACTCAAAGTCTGACACTGACTCGGGCTGAAGCTGGCTACTGGATAGGCAGTCGGGAGTCGCAATTGGAGCACTCGCCGGGAGTCGCGCGACTCTAACAGAGCAAAGTACCTGCAGCCACACAACACCACAGAAAATGGAACGTAGCAATGGACCCCGAAAAAGGAGATGGCGACAAACCACGACATTAATTTGAATGTTTGCTAGAGCACTCTGGGAAATGATCGAATGTTATGCGAGGAGCCATAAGACGCTGCTGGCTCCCCGTCGAACGGTGTGCACGTCCATTGGAGATGATGGAAATGAAAATCCCTGGCCAGGCCTGCCTAAGCGAAAACGTGACGGGCTAGGCCCAGCAGCAGGCCCAACTCCCAGTGCCCGTCATGGCAATGAAACTTGGGAAAAAAGAACATTGCTCATTCGCCACGTGTTACGCTGAAGTGGCACAGTGGTGTGGCACCAGTGGGGCACTTAGGGGCTTCTGATTGCATTGCAATGAGGGAAATAATTCTTTTTACTCGCGTTGCCAACAGACTGCAGCCTCTACTGAGTGACTTGAAGTGAGAATTTGCCAAATGCAGCCCAAAAATATTCATGGAATCGCAATCCCAGTGTGCGCCACTATATGTGGCAGCAGCTGTAAGGCCCACAAAAAGCCGCACAAGAAGCAGCAGAAGCGGCAGACAGACAGACACATGGCCATGTGTGCACGTACTTATATGGGCAACTGTAAAAAAAAAACAAAATCTGGCTCTAGGCTTTGGCTTTGGCTTTGGTTTTTTGTTATTTTTTTGTTTGTTTGGCCAGCCACACGTCGTGGTTATAAATTATTTTTTGCTGTCCCGCTTTTTCCTTTGAGGCGCCCCACAAGTTTGGCGTTGGACATCTTTTCGTGTTTGTTTGGCCATAATTTGATTTGTGTGGCAGGCGGCGTCGCCATCGCACTTAGCCATATTAGACACAGGACCTCTAGCCCCGCTCTACTCACCGCTTCCTTTGCCGCCCCTCCAGGGCAATGTGCACGGGCACATCCACATACAGGTCCTCCACGTCGTCGATGTCCTTCAGCATTTTGCGGTAACGCTGCAGCTTCTGACAGCGAGCCGTCGTCGTCGTCGTCGTCGTTGTCGATGTTGGCACTGCCATGGGTGGCATTGGGTGCACTGGTGATGGCAGCTGCCCGGCTGGACCCATGATGATTCGATTGCTGGCCAGCGGTGAGTGGGAGATCTCCGCCAGCAGCGAACCGCTGAGCAGCAGCATCAACAGCAGCACGAGTCCTGGCATCCTGGCCAGCATTAACGACTTTACTCGCTCTCTCTCTCTCTCTCTCTCTCTCTCTCTCTGTATAGTTTATGGACCGATGAGTTCCTCTCTTCAGGCTTTGCCTTGATTTAATTTTGCTTATGGTTTAACTTGGCTGTGGCTTTTGGCTTAAACTTTAATTTGGTGTGCGTTCTGTGTGGGTTTTGGTAGGTGTTGTGGGGAAATTGCTCTGCAAACTTTATGCAATAATTCTAGAGTACTTCTGGAGTAGAAAAGGAAACTTTGCTAAGGCTAAGATCAAAGACAGTGATGGGTTATGTTACACCTGCTGAGGCATGTCAAAGATTGAATTACTCTCTGCAAGAGCTCGAGATTTAGCTCTGCGTGGGAAAATGTATTCCCTCAGTTGTGGAAGGGATAACTTCTCCTTTATATCTTGACAATTTCATGTTCTATCTGCCAGCCATTATTACGCACTGTTCTAGCACTAATCCGATGAGCCGAGGCCTTCAGCTCTCCTTCTTTCGGGACTGGCAAAAGTTCAGGCAATCCTTCTTGGAGCTGGGCTCTCCCCCTCTGCTGTTCTTTGCACAATTAAGGCCTGTCAAACCTTTGACACACGTCGCCTGATGTCTGCCCCCACTTTTGCTGCTGCCTGCTGCCTGCTCCTCTCTGCACCCCCTGCTCCCCTCTCCCACTTGCCGTTTTGTGCGGCGACAACTTCTTTGGCTTGCCGCAAAATTTGCCAAAAAGAAAAGGAAAATATTGCGTTGTTTTTTAAGGGGAGGAACGCGCTGTGTCTCTCGTCCGTCGTCCGTCTTCTCTTTTCGGTTTTTCTCTTCGCATTTTTTTCTTTTCATTCTTTTGGTTTACGTTTTTGTTGGGGTTTTTTTGGGGGCGCCCAATTAATTTGAGGCTGCAGTAAATCGATTCTTGGAACTGTTAGATTTGCTAATTGCGGCTACCCGCTGACCTTTGGCTCTGACTCGGTTGCTGGCGCTGGCGCTGCCCGTGGCACGCCACACACCAAAATCAATTAACGTTCTGCGAAATTTGCGTGTGCCGCAACAATTGGTCTGCGGATGGAATGCAGCAACAGCCACAGCAGCAGCAGCAGGAGGCCGCCGAATAGGGGTTGTGCCACCTGTGGCTGGGCTGGCCTGGGGTTAGGGCAAAGGCAAGAGCAATTAGCCGACCACACACACACAGAAGGCACACCACATGGACACACTCTTACTTTTGGAAAGCACTTTTTTGTTTTCATAAATTGTGATTTGTTGTGGCACGCATAGTTGTGCGGGAATGGAGTGTGGTGCTACTTTTGTTCACTGTTTTTGCTGCTCCTTTTTGGAAACTTTTACTGGACGGACGGACAGGCACACAAACACACGCGACACGGCTCGACACGTTTCCCGGGTGTTTTCACTGCTGCTTTCCGCGTTCTCCGCAATACGTAACGTACGTAAGGGAAACGAAGTGGCACTGATTTTGGGGCTGCTGCTGCTGCTTGCCTCGTCTGCCTTCCTTGACGTGCAAACACAAAATGCCCGAGAGTCGTGCGCAAAGAAAGCCAAAAGCCCGAGCGCATAGCGCGTCAGCATGGCACCGAGCAGCGACGCCAGCAGAGGCAGCGACAGAGAGCAGTGGCAGCGCAGCAAGCGAAGAAGAAGTCCCCATAAAGCACGAAGACGACACGAAGTCTCTCCCCCACGCACAAATACATACATGTATGTGCGTTTGTATGTATATTTGCGCCTTAATTAATGTTTTTTTTTGTGTTTTCTTTTCGTACTTTTGGGCCCGCTTCTCATTGATGAGGCTGTCCTCCCCTGCCTGCCGCTGTCTTTCCTTTGTTTTTCCCCTTCGCTTTCGCTCTTTTATTCCTTTTTCTGTGTGTGTTTGGTTTTGTTTTTGTTTCTGTTCTGTTTTCTTTTGCTTTTTGATTTTTGAATTTCGTTTTCATTTCATTGAAAAATAAAGCAAGAACAGCACAAGTCGCCGCAGAAACAGATGAAGAGCATGAAATGCGTTGATTTTTTATATTTTAATGCGCGGCACGTGACTTTCGGTGGCAAGCAGTGAGCGCCACACATCCATCTGCCGCCGTTGCACCCTGAGCAGCGTCCAAAGTGCCAACCGCCATGTAATCGGAGCTGCCGCCAACACGGCAAATGCACATTAGAAGCGCGAAGAGGGGGGACACGAACGATCTTGTAGCTGAAGCTGGAGCTGGAGCTGCGACATCTGATCTAAGTTTATGCGGAGCTTAGACGGGGGAAGCCAAAACCGTTTCTAGTATGAAGTGTGGAATATATTTGGCTGACATTTATTATATTTTCTGGCAAACATAAATATAAATTTGTCCTAAAACATTCCCTCAGACGCATAAACCATGCCTTATACATTTTACATTTGTTGTTACATATTTATGTCTCAATCTAGTGCCTGACCAGCCCCCAGCCGTAATTCCCAGCCACAAAACTGCGCCAACGTCAGCGCAAAAGCGAAAATCCCAAAAAAGATTGTCAAATTTTTGCTGAGTTTCATAAATTGTTCGTGGACGCCTGTCTGGCCAGCGGCCGCCACCTTTCGCTGGGTTCACCTGTCGTCTGCCTGCAACTTTGTGTGGGTCTGCTGGGGGCTTTCCCAGAATTCTGACAATTCAAAACGTACAAAAAACTGCAACAAAATTGCCACGCTGCGGCAGGAAGGAAGTGAATTGCGTCTGACGGCAGCGAGGCAACAAATTAACGGCAAATTAGTTAGAAAATCAGAAAACAATTTTAGTGACTTAATCAGCGGCGGCCAACAGAAGGGAAACCAATTGGAAGCAGCAGTGGAAAGGGGAAATGGGAAAGGGGAAGGCAGTGCCAGAGAGAAACATCAGCAGTTGACAGCGGGGCAACCTTGGAGGCTCCCCCAAAGCGCATTACTCAAGGGGTCTTTGCCAGGTCCATGTCCAGGTTCAGGTTGAGGTCCCCTGGTCCAGGCTCATGCATAATGCAAGGCCCTGTCCTGTCTCTGATTGGGGCGGCTCTGATGGTGGCCCAGCGAGACGGCGTTGCATTTTCAACAAATTAATTATTGGCAAAGAGGTGGAACAAGTCAGTTAGTCCGCTGACTGCAAATGAGTAACAGAACAAGGCTCCCCCCCCCACGTACGAGTACCCTTGAGAAAGTTTCCACGAAGGGTACAATCGGTACAACCAAAGGCAATCGGGCAAAACTTAAACAGAAATCATTTGGGACCTTCCAGCTTTCGCAATTAGTTTAAAAAGCAAACAAACACTTGGGAAATTGCATTAAGTTAAGGCATTTAAATGTACTCAATGATTCCCCACAGCCACTGTGAAGTGAATTCGAATTGAATGCAATCGAAATGTTGACAAAATACTTCGATTCGCCTTTCAACTGATGGAGTCAACAGCCAATCGATCAACGGGCAACGGGCAACGGGCAACTGGCACCCCCTTCTGGCTCCCTTTAACACCCCTAACCCACCACCATCCACATACAAAACATATTTGGTACAACATTTTTGCCCCACACTCACACTTCATCAACGCGAAATGATTGGCATGCCATCGTCAAGCGACAGAAGCAGCAACACAAGACCCAACAGCAGCCAGCCACCACCAGAGGCATCAGAAAGGAACAGAAACAACAACAAATAAATGCGGCAACGTTGGCGGCGACAGACTCCGACATGTGTAAAGGAATCGTTTAAAATAAATGACAGCAGCATGGCCCCACCTCCCCCAACTGTTCCTGCGCCCTCCTGCCTCCTGCCTCCTTCCCCACCTGACTGCATAATTACCCACAGAGCAGGGCACACGGCAGATCACAATAATCAATACGGTCAGGATGATGGAGCAGGGAGGCAGAGAGGGGGAGCAGCTACGAGGCAGGTAGGAGGAGTGTGGCCCGAGTTTTTGTTTTGTTCTTGCCTCTGAGCCACTGTCCCAGCAGCCAGCAGCCAGCAGCCAGCATCCAAGGTGTGCGTGTGTGTGGTCCCGCTCTGACTTTTTACATGTTTTTCGGTGGCTTTGGCTTCGTTTGAACTTGGGCGCCGCTCAGGGGCACAGGCACAGGCACAGGCACAGTCCCAGGCACTGAGGACTCCTCTCTGTTCCATTCGTCTTCGTCGTGCCTAGATCATTTGTTTACACGCATCCACAAATGGAGCAACTAGGGACGCACACTCAGGGCCAACCTATAAGAGCTTCTTGCCTCTTCTTTGCTCTACACCAGCCCCAAGAGCTCGTGTCATTTACGATCCTCAAACACTGCAGCTTCAATGCAGCCCTAGAACACGGACTTATCAGGCCAGACCCTCTCCAGTTTTTAGCACATGACAACACCTTTTGCAACGAAAACTTTGCCGCGGGCCGCACAGGCAGAGGCCAAAGACAAAAGCTGGGTCTGCGCCCACCTGTGCTGCCTCCAGTGGCTGTGGGTTGACAGATGGATGGGGCGTGGCTTTGGCAAAATCAAAAACTTTAAAACTCTCCGCTTATCCCATGCCCTGCCACTTCCCTCGCCGACTAAAGGAACAGCTCAGTGGAAATTGTCAACTTGGCACGCATTTTATTAAATGAAAGAATTTTCCTTGGCTACAGTCAGGGGGCCAGGGGCAGGTCCTTGGCTGCCATTGCTGCTGCTGTCAAACTTACGCAAAACAAAATCGGAAAAGGCCATCTGAAACACACACACACACACAGACACACACAGACAAAGAGCAGACGAAGAAGTCAGGAAGGAAGGAGCACGGAGCACGGAGCATGGAGCATGGAGTGGCATGGGTGCCGGGCCATCTTCTCCTTTTGCCAGCGACAAAGTGAAAATTTTTTAATTGCATTTTTGCCAACTGTCGCAGCGGATTATTGGCAAGCAATCCATTCCGTTGGAAATTGCAGCGGAAAATCTTCTCGCAACGCCAACACAGAAGCTGCATTAGGCTCTGGCTGTCTGCCTCTGCCTCTGCCTCTCCGCTTTGCTGAGCAAGTGCAAACTTTCATTAAAAATTGTTCATTTGCTGCTGTAGCGCAGAGCCGAGGCCATTGTGTAAAAATAAAAAGAGATTTCCTTGCTGTGAGTGCAACAGAATATTGCTACTTATGCTAATGATGAATCGACAAGGAAGTTGCATCGGGAGCTGCAAGGTACACGGATGAAAGGGAGTTCCATTCAAGTTTGTTCGCGTGGAAAATCGCAGTATTTTCTGCTTGTTAATTAACAAAGTTCTTGGACACACAATGATTAGTGATTTTTATGGTAGAATTTCAGTGTTAAATATGTTTTATCTGTCCCTAATGATTGTTGCATGTGGCTGGCCGGCTCTCTTTTGTATAAACAAACGAATAAAACAATTTCAGTTGCTTTTTTTTTTGTGTCTCGTGATTTTGTTCAACTTGTTGGCTGTTTTTTGTTTTTGTGTTAAACGCTTCGGCCGCTTGTCATGCGATGAAAGAGCTTTCGATGGTCGAGTTTGTGTGTGTCCGAGCTGTCATGCGTCGCCACCCAGAAGCTCAAGTTTATAAGAGCCACCGCCAGCGCCAGCGCCAGCACCACCAACTCATCATCATCATCATCATCATCATCCTTATTCAGAGTCCCAGGAAACTTCGTCGATAAGTTGTTGCTGCCACGCAACCAGCACGACAACAGCAACAACTAAAAAAGGGACAACCTTTGTCATGACCACGTTCATCATCATCATCAGCAGCAGCAGCAGCAGCAACAACCTCGGGGCACGATGATCATGATCGATGCGAATGTTGGCAATAGGCACAGCGCCCCAGAGGCAAACGGCGTCTGTGTTTGATTTGTTTGCTGCCTGTGCTGCTGCCTGTGCCGCTTCTGACCATTAAAAGTACAATGACCAGAGAAAAATAACGTTATTAAGCCATCGGCAGGCAGGCAGCAGCAGCAGCAGCAGCAACAACAAAAACAATCAATAAAAGCTAAACCCTACAAGAACAGAACAGAAACATAGCCCCGCAGAATCGAAATCGGAATCGGAATCGGAATCAAAACAAAGTGACCGAGAATTGGCCCAAAACACACACAAACACATAAGAAGAGCCAAAGGGTATGTTCGATTTGCTCTTACTGATGCTCAAAGTATGCCAAAGGAAGTATTTATAGACAGGCCATTTGTCTTAATGATCGTTTCTGGAGTTGATAAATGAACAAACTCCACGCTCTGTGCATGTCATAGAAATAGATTTGAAAGCTTTGTGTCTCTTTTTAGAGGGTGCCTACCATTCGACTACTTCTGCAACTTGTTACTGCCTTTACTTGTATGTTTTATGCCTGTGCTCTGCTCTTAGCATTCAGGCACGATCGAAAGCGAAAACGCTGGGGGTCCGCGCCCTGCGTCAACAAAAAGGAGCGAGGCCACAGCCACAGCAAAACGTATTTCCGATTGGTTTTATTTTCAGTTTTGGCCTAACTGTTTATCACATGAGAGACTCAACTAATTGGCTGTAGTCCTGCGGCTTTTGAGTTGGGTAGAACCTTTCATTAAAGCAAACAAAAAAATTAGTTCCCTGGAACTAAATGATTTTGAAAATGTAAATAGAATTCAAGGTAAAGAAATTGAGTTACAATTTGTAAATGAAAACTTTGATGAGCATTCTTTTGGAGCTACCAGCTTACGAGCTGGCACGCTCAACTTTATCCTTTATAGAGATTTTCCCCACAATAGTTTTCTCCATTATACTTTTTGTGTTTGTGCGCTGAACGCATCGTTGTGGAGTGAAGCGAGTTCCCATTGAATGTTCAGCTTGGTAATTGCAGGCAGTCAACTGCAAAACGGCTAAATTGGTTAGCCCGATGTGCACCCTTTGTCTCTGGCTTAAAATTGATTGAAATTATCAGCTCTGGCTGCTGGCATGTCTCTCGCTTGCTCTGCTATCTGCCTCCGCCCGAAGGTGCTCTGTCTCTGTCTCTGTCTCTGTCGCATTCTCATTCTCCTGTCTCTGTTTGCTGGTGCGGTATGTGCGACATTTAATGGGTTAAACGAGGCAATGTGTCGTCGCAGTCGACATTTGCCGGAAAGGCTTACGCATGCCACTTAATTGGATTGGATTTAAGCAACAAAATTACAGACAACATGGCTCACAATAACAATAAAGTTGTAGTTAAATTGCTCACACGCATGAGGGGCATGCATGTGTGCCTCAAATCTGCGGCAGCTGCGAGTCAGGCCCCCACATTGATATGCGGCATTGACGCCTGTCAGAAATCAGGCAAATCTTTATCTGCTGCTGCTGCTGCTGCTGCTGCACATTGTAATTAGCAGCCCTGGCAACCCGTTGCCCAAATTGTCAAAAACTAAACGCTTGGCCAGCAAAAAATAAAAGGATATACGCGTTAGCAGTGAGAGCGGAAGTGGCAGGCAAATGACAAATTACACTCTGACACAAAACCACAAACCAAAAAGCTAACAAAATGTCGATAAAAGCAAAGTTGTTGGCTGGAAAAGCGCACTACAAATTGCATGGACTGCAAATTAAATGAATTTCTGCTAGTTTATTGTCTGCAATATTCCAAGTATTTAAATGCGAATAATGCGAGTGAGAGATTCAATTAATCAGTGGGAGAGAGAGCTGCTAGACTTACCGCAGTCCAGCTCGAAAGGTTAATGGTTTTCGCCGTACAAAATGCTCCATTTCTGACATTCCTGCCAGTCAAAATGCAAAACAAATGCTGCTGGGGGGAAGAGGCAAGCTGGGAATTTCTGACATGCCTTTTACATTGCTAACATGCTTCTTCGACTCTTTCTCTCTCTCTCTGACTTGAGGTCGGGGTTTTGTCTGGCAAAAGGAGCAACTGTGAAGGTATTGTAGGAGCTGCCAGGCCGCATGTTGGTTGGTTGGTTGGTTGGTTGGCATTGCTGCCACTTCGTCTGTCTGTCTGTCTGTCTGTCAGCTGCTCAGATATACTCGGGTATACATTTAATAATATGCACATTTATACATATATTTATGGGGCATACTGCTATGCAAGTAGATATATTTGTGTGTGTATCGTGCTGTGTTTCGTTGGTTTCTTTTTTGTTTTTCTTGCGCTATGGCAACATATTTCACTGCATAATTTCCTAGCTGATGTGACGCTCTCCCTACTTCTCCAACTGCCTCGCAACGCATGCAAATGACAAAAACAGCAACTGGAGCAGACAACACTGCAAAAAGTTGACAAGGGGCAAGCCGCAACAAACATCTAACTGACAGTTGTCTTTGGCTCCCAGTAGCCATGGAATACGAACTATGCTGGCATTGGGGCTAAGAAACTAGCGAGAACTATTACATTGCCACCATTTCCATTTATTGTTGTTGCTTAAATGGCTGATCGATAAAAGTTGGTGCACTTTTCACTGTATTAGAGCTAATAAAAACCACACCATAAAATCGTTTTACCATCTCCACTCGAACAACTCCATAAATAATGCTTGCCTGCTTCGATTTTTACACCATAGTCAATAGTCTAGACGAGCTCTGAAACAAATGCCTTTGGTGGCCATTTTTCTGCTGTTTCCTTGGCTTGTTATCATTTTTTAATAACATTGTTGCGCACAGTGGTAAAATTTGCATAAAGCACACACACAGCAGGACACTGACGGGACGACAAACGATGAGGACGAGCAGGCAGGCAGGAAGCGGAGACAGCGCACAACATGTGGTATGAGTAATTTCTTGCTTAAGCACAATACAATGACACGAGCGCTGCTTTATGTGCATGTTCGTGTGCGTGTGCGTGTGTGATGTGTCGTGAGTCTTGACTAGATGGATGAAATAAAACAATTTTCATAGAAATTCCGTGCATTTGCATAAATTTCATGCACTCCGGACGTGGCGGCGATGTCGTCATTCTCATCTACTTAGCAAAGTGCAATGCAACACGAATCTCTCACGGATGGGGAGAGGGTGAATGGAGGCCAGATGGAGCACGGACCACGCTCTTCTAACGAAGGCATCAGAGCATGACAATTCCACTGACATGAGGAGTGTGGCCTCCATCCTGACAACGATGGCACTTCCCTCCCATCGGCAGGCACACTCTCTGCTGGCAAAGTTTTTGCGGCGAAACTTTTTTGTCGCTTTGGCAATAATCATAAAATTTCACTGCATATGAAACAAAAAACCATAAAAACTATACAAGAATGGGCAAAAAGAGAAGAACAAGGCGAAACGTGATTGCAACATAAAAGCGATTGCCAAATCGATTTGCTTGTCAGCAGGCATCCCCCCTATATGATGCCAAATAGCAAGAGACAAGCGAGCGATAAGCCAAGACGAACGCTCTTATCGATGGCAAGAAAAATGGCAAACAATTTGAGGAGGAAAACACACAAGCAGCAGGACATAGACATAGAGGCTACGAAAATATTGGCCACGTTGACAGCTTAACGTACATAATTAATGTGACAATCCAACGGAATGTGTGTGTGTGTGTGTGTGTGCGTGTGGGCATTAATATATGGGCATTCGGCCGGATAAACATGTTGCCAAAATGATCATCCACACACAGAGGAAGATACGGCCAGCACCACACGCATTGGGCAATGCCACACATCTGACGCTGTTGACATTAATTAGGGCCAAAATGCTTTTCTCCGCCACTAAAGCCTGGCCAACTCATTAAAGAAGAAGCGGGGCGTATGCGTGATGCGTGCGCCAAACAAAATTGAGAGACAAACAACAAACATTAAAAGTTTTTATTGAGTTTACATACATATCTACATAAACATATACATATATGTACATATATCTATGCAGTGTAGCTGTTCACGTTCCCACCCCCCCCGCACTTGCCAGGATAGACAACAAAAAGCATTAAATTACTTTATAATCCGTTTATAGCTTTAGCCGGAAGTGGTCCAGACACACACACACACAGGGGGGGAGACAAGCATGGACAAACACTCTCAAACACTCACAAACACTGGCTCTGACTCTTGGGGGAGGCAGCTCAACAGCATAATCAAATCAAAGATTACGTTGAAACATTGAAATTACGTCTAGAGCAGAAAGCACTCATAGTCATAGTCACACACAAACACACACGGACAAAAACAGAGTGCGCTTGCTCCTCAGTCCCCATAGTCCCCATAGTCCCCGATGTCCACAGTGCCCAATCCTCGGTGCTCAGTGCCCCGCAGCACTCGGAATTCTCCCCCTCAGTACTCGGCCATCGCCAGGCGAAATGAAATGGTTTTTGGCAACACTCTCTACGAACTTTATGATACTTTGTGCATGGCATTAGTGTTGCTTCAGTTTGGGATTGGGGATCAAAACGGGAGAGTGATCGAAATGGCAGTTTTCACTTGCAGCAAATGGCACAGGGATCTCTCAATTGATCGGAGAATCGGAACAGCAGAATCTGTAGTATATTTAATTGCATTAAAAGTAATCTCTGCCGGCTTCATTTGCTACCCATTACCATTCGTACTCTTCATATTGCCAGCTGCCTAAGCCGATGGCTGGCGATGTGAGACGGCGGCGGCTGCTGCACAGCACAAACAATTGCAAACATTAAGGGAAATCCTCTACAACTTTGACCCTGGCAAAACGTAAACAGACGAACAAAAAACTATACAACAAAGGCAGCAACAAAGCGAAGGAGAGGCGGTAATAACTTTTGCTTCATTCATGCACACCACACACAAGGTGATTCATGTGCGACGAGACCGAGAGCAGGCGATGTCCTGCGCAAACGCTCTCTCTCTCTCTCTCTCTCTCTCTCTGGGTCGGGAGATCTGGCAACGCTGTGGAACAAAGCGGGCTGCGACTTGAGCTGCGTCTGCTATCAGTTGGCCTGCTGTCCTCGGGCATGCACGTCGCGTTGGTGGCTTCCATTTCCGTCTCCGGTGCTGTCCTGCCAGCCTGCCAGCCTGTGTGTGTGTGTGAGAGCGTGCCTCTCTCTGGCTGAGTGTGCGTGCTGTGCCTGTAGGTGTGAGGGCGCCAAGTGCTTCGTGTGTCTGCTTAACCACCAGTTAAACAACAACAGTCAAACAAAGACATTCCACGGGGCTGGCAGCAGATAAATATTTACCTTGACTGAAAATTGTCATAGAGTCGCAGCCGCAATCAAAATTTGCAAACAAACTGAGAAATTTGGAGCGAAAATACGAGGAGTCCGCAGCGGCAGACGCTGATAAACAGGCAACAGTTCTGCTGAAACTCCAGCATGGAAATGGACGTTAATCGCCAGACACGCCACAATGGCAACCTAATGACCATATCCGCCCGCTGTTCCAACAACAATTCAGCAGCAACAGCAGGAACTGAGGCAGCAACCTCTTCGGCGCCACCAAGCGGCTGCTGCGGCATCTTGAGCCGCCTCTTTTGTGTGAGTCGCCACAAGGCAACGCAGCTGGTGGCTGGCAGCGAGTGCCACAGCAACGATCCCTTCACGTCCCAGCTGCATGGCAAGTCGGCCACTGCATCCGGACAGCGACGCCGACGCACGCCACAGGAAATCTACTTCGAGAGTCGCGGCAAGTCTTGCAAGAAGCTATTGAAATTCAATGGCAATTCCAATAAGGTGAGTGCTGCCACAAGGTGAGAGGAGTGCTCTCTGCCAATATCCCCAGCCCCGACTGTACGAGTGCTTGAATGGCTGAGCACTTTCCATGCACAAAGAAATGGTGATTTAGTGCAAAGAAAATGAATTTCCTCAAAGGTCTTGCATACATCAAGCAGCAAGCAGCAAGCAGCAAGCAGAGCTCTGCATTCGCATTCAATGGGTTCAATTATGATGAAGGAGAATAATCAAAGTCGATCTTTAGGGACTGCCAATTGGATAGATATCAAGACAGATTTAAGGAAACTTTGATTCAAGCAAGAGTGAAACCTTCCAATCATTGTCGCATAATGGAAGTGGTTCCCTTTTGGAGCACAATCCACGAAAGTGCATACATTTTACAGTCTTCTGGTTACATATTTGGGCCAGGAGCCGAAGCTCTGGCTCCAAAGTGCCGTGAGCCACTGAGCCGTAACGTGGCCAATACCCAGGGGCAGGGCCGCCTGTGTGTGCCTCGGCATACACTCAGCCATGTGCCACAGAGTGCGTGTGTGTGTGTGTGTGTGTGTGTGTGTGTGTGTGTGTGTGTGTGTGTGTGTTTGTGTGCCATTGTTATAAATTTTTGGGTAAATTTGTAGCCAAAGCTGTGTGGAGTGAGCCGTAGTGAAGTTTTACTCGATTTGCAGCATTTTGTTTTGTTTGGCTTCTCGGCCTAGGTGAGTGAGAGTGGGTCAGAGCGTGGGGGCAGGGGAACAGGAGAGCGAGTGTGGGGGTAGCACACACACAGAGACTTTTGTCTGCTTTTACCACTTTGCATATAAATCATTTGTGGCATTGTGGCCAGAGCGCAGTGCGCTTATGAAATATTTCGTTTTGTTTAATGCGCCAAAGGACAACAGAGCACGGTTCCCTGCTCAAAGAGGAGCCCCACAACCCCCCATCCGCAGACTAATTAAAAACGTGCAAAAAGAAAAGCCAATCAAACAGGTCGATGCACAACAATGGATCTGATCTGCCTGCGCTCGTGCCAGTTGTCCCGAAAAACAGACATCCCACATTCAGAATACGAATACGTATACTCGACTGTGTGTGTGTGTGTGTGTGTGTGTGTATCAAATGCATTGTTTCACACATGTAGAGTGTGGAAGGGGGGGCATAGTGTCCACGTCCCAGCAGCATGTGCTGGCCATCGCCGGCTCCTGGGCACGCACTGAAGCGCAAGCAACAGGATGAATTTGTTAAACAACACAAACACGAAGGATCTGGCAGCTCGAGAATGGGGTTTTTGGTTTGCAGAGGGGTGGGGCAGAGCGGGAGTGCATGTGAGAAGTGAAAAATGAAAAACCCCCCATGCCCTATCAAGTGACATCATCAATTTCAGTCTACTTTGCACACAGACTACAGACCCACAACCGACCATCCACAGTACTGGTCCTGGTCCTGGTCCTGGTCCTGCTCCTAAAGACTGCAACAATGCCAGTGAACATTAGCACCGACAGTCCGTTGACAAGAGTTGCCTTCTTTTGCCTGTGGCTGCATTAGAAAGGGGCAAAACCAATGGCAATGTGGGCTCCTCTAGGAGCATTCAATTGAATCCGAAATGTTTTCCTCTGCTCTGCATTTTCTCTCTCTCTCTCACTGCCTTTGACAATCAATCGCATTAACTCTTTTGTAGTGCTTGGATGACCCAAAACAGAGGGTGGTTTACACCCATGGAAGGCATCCCCAGGCATCGATTTTAAAATGAAGCAATTGCCAAGTTGAGACAAAAAGCAGTTTGTTTTTTATACACTTGCAATCCGCCCCTGAAAAGAGAAATCAACCCTCGGATGAATGGATACTTTTTGTATAATGTTTCAATGCGTGTACCCATGGTGCCCCGGGGGGTAAGGGACTTACTCTCTAAACCCAATGAGTTTATGCTGTTCAGTAAACTTTCGTACATCCACAGCTCCACAGCTATCATTCGGCAAAGGTGTGCAAAGGGGGATGGCGACATTCTCTCATCTCTCTCGGAGCTCGGAGTCATAGCCAGTTCCAACTAAACAAAGAACCAATAAATCCTACTTTATGCTATTCCAATTAGGCGCTTGCTGTCATAATTCGATTGACTTGTAATTTTGATATGTAAGTCTGACCACAAAGGTACCTAATTGCAATCAAGCTGCGACAGAGAGAGAGAGCTGAATCATTAGAAAGTCTATTATAGTAAAATGGAAGACCTCATGAAGCAAGACTAGCCCACTGCCCAACCAACTCGCTCTCCAGCTTGTTCTCCATCCCCTTCCTGGTACTTTATGTGCGAGCATTAAAGCATATATGTAAATATGTATGTACGAGTATTTGTCTGCATACATATGCATGAAAAAAGAGGGAAGAAAAATGCCATCAACATTGCAACGTTGTAATTGCCAACAGGCAATGAAGAGCCACAGCCAAGAAGAGCTGCTAAGAGAACGAAAGAGAGCGAGAGGGAGAGGGAGAAAGTGGGGAGGGGGGCAGACACTACAAACTGGCAACTGCCACATGTCCTGTCAACTCAGCTCGGAGAAGGAAAAAAAGAGCCTTTAGCCTGGTCAGTCACCAGCAAACGAGAGTCTCTACATAAGTTCTCAGCCCGAAATGAGAGATTGAAATAATATTGGAAACTATTTTGATTCTCAATTGGATAATTCCACAATATAAATAAATATATCTAAAAATAGCTAATTATTTTCCTATTGAACAGTGCAATCTAGTGTACGATCGACCCTCGTTTTGGGTTGTGTGCGTTGGGGCGACTGAGCTGTGCGACATTTTTAGCACGCGGCTAATGTGTTTTGGCTGCTGCTACTGCTGCTGCTGCTGATGATGCCACAGCCTGGGACAGATACACAGGCTATAGGCGGAAATGCAGAAGGAATTACCAGAAGCTTTGCGGTCCAGTACAGCCTGCACAGACTGACTCTGACTGTGACTCTGACTGATGACCTGATGGGCAGCAGGCCAGTCTGTCTCCACTGCCCCTGCTCACTGCGGCCTTTCTAACTATTTTCTATCCTGTTGGTTCTGTTGATTTCGCCTTTTATGATCTGGTCGTTTCATTATAATCAAGCATGATTATGTCTGGCCAAAAGTTAAACAGGCCAAGTCAATTCAAGAGTGAATTTACTTTACAAGCAGCCGCAAATTCTTTTCGAGCAAAGTGGTGAAAAGGAAACCCCGGAAAGAGGAGAGCTGAATGCTGAAAGCGTTGAGTGCACGACGTACAATATTGTGTATAAAATAAAAAGTCATAAAAATGAACCGTTAATCCAAGTAGTTGAAACACAGAGCCAGAGAGGAGGGACAGAGAGAGAGATAATGTATAGAGAGGAAGAGAGGCAGTCGGTAGAAGGGGTGGATGCTATGGAGGACCCTTTTTTTTTTAGGGGCAAGCAGATGAAGCGGTTGCCTTTATTTGGATGCCTCCCGTTTCCGTTCCCGTTCCCGGATGGCAATGGCGATGGCGATGGCGATGACGATGACAAGGGTGCTTTGCCGCCTCACTGACTAAATAAAATTGGAATTTATTATCATGATTTGTAGCAAGAAGAGGAGCCACCAGCACCAGAGACAGCATCAGCAGTAGCTTCAGCTCCAGCTCCAGCTCCAGCAGAGCCGGAGACAGGCTGAAAATGGCGGGCATAAAAAGCACAGCAGTGACTCCCGCCCAACCCCTTACGCCCACTCTCACTCCCACTCTCCATCCCCATCTCGATAGCTAACTCTGACTCATCGCCAGAGACTGCCAAATGCCTAACCCAAAGTCATGGACTTGGATAAGCGAGAGCGGAGCATTCTTAAATTTATATGCCCGGGCACTGATTTAAATCGCTCTGGTCAAAGTTGAAGTCAACGCCTGCTTCGGTGGCTTCTCTTTTAGAGGAGGCAGGCGGAAGGCGGCAGGCGTGGCTTGGCTCAGAAGGCGCAGCATCAGCAGAGTCAGCCATGGCAGCAGAAGGCTTAACTGTGCATTTTCTTGCTGGTTTATTAGGGTTTTGCCCACAAGCTGCTAAGGCGATTTGCTGCTCTATTCCCAGCAGCCACTGCAGCTGCTGGCCAACAGGCGTACGAGCTGGAGTACACGCGCTGTGGCAGTGCGGCAAGTGGCAGTGCCAGCTTTAAGCTATCAATGAGTAACTGAGTGGCAGGTTTTCTAATTGTGGCGACGTAACATGGGCAAGGCCAATCCGGGGAAACTTTTACAGATTTATGTGGCGTACGAGAGAAATCCAGAAAGGACTTTAAAGCGTTAAAATTAAACCAATAAAAGTGAAAACCCTTAAGAGAAGAGTAAAACATTTTCGGACAGCTGTTGGATGCATTTTGTATACAAAAATGAAAGGCTTCTGTTGTGACAACATTTGTTTACCTTTTCTTTATTAATCACCACACATCTACACTGCAAACCGGCTGACTGACGGCCGCAAATTGAGAGGCACTTGAAGGCGTGGGAAGCTTAGTTTCTAGAACATTCCGTGCTCTCTTTCTCATGCGCTTCATAATTGCTCTCTCATTGGCGTTGACCTTGTCTTTGAGCTATCCATCTTCTACTCGAGTGATTACTTGTAAATGCAACGGTAAATGTCGAGAAGGGGAATGTTCTGCGTATCTGAGTTTGCATGTGGTGAAAGAGGGGAGAGGAAGAAGCTCAAACCATAAGGAGAGCATGAATGGAGAAACTGTAAAAATTTAAGTGCGAGAGCGGCGCAGATTTGAATGCGTAGCAAGCTTTGTTTCTAGAACATTCCATGCTCTCTTTCTGATGCGCTTCCTAATTGCTCTCTCGTTGACTTTGTGTTCTCCCTCTCCTACCTGAAGCGAGCGCTTGATGTGTGACAACTGGTTAATGCAACGGTAAATGGCGAGAAGGGGTAAGTGCCATGCATGGGTTGGAAGAACAGAGATGAAACAGTGCAACACCGAATGTTCTTCTTAGAAGAGAAGGAGAGGCACTGCAAAAGCAGCAAGGGGAAAAAAGTAAAAGAGGGAAGTAAGAA